CAGCGAATATGGGCAGTAGCTTGGTAACGACTGTAAGTTCTACACTCGCAACAGTAGAAGAACCATCAAAAATAAGAGAGTGCAGCATGTTCGTCATGAGCGGGTGTGCGGCGAGGACGGGAGCGACTTTAGGGAAACCGGGCTGCGATGTATATGCATTCAGCAGAATGAGAAGTTGCAGCCTTGATGTGGGTGACGAGAAGCAGTGGTAGACTTCCGTCAAAAAATCCTGCGATTGCAGGTGCATAAGGAGCTGCAAGGTCGATCGTGCGCAGCGAACGCACCTGAGGTCTCTCCAGGCCAGCCTTCACGAGCACGTCCTCGAGATTCGCTTTCCAGCATGCCTTCTTGTTGCGTTGCTCTGTGTCTAGCTCCGCCCACTCGAGCACGTCGTCGCCCGAGCACTCGTTATATGCGTCCAGGAGATACAAGTCCATCAGTCGCCTGCGGAACTCACCAACCTTCTCCCTCTGGCGCTCACGCTCCTTCACGCGCTCCTCCTCGGACTCGTCTTTCGCACCGATGTCCGTTCCGGTGGCCGAGTCGAGTGCGGCAAGCACAAGCTCCTTCGCGTGATCGACGGATGGAATGGGAAGGCGCGGCTCGCGGAGCGCAGGGCGGAGGACGAGGTCGTACCATGTCGAGATAAGCGAGGCGGGTGGTAGGATGGGCCGAAGGTGATACAGGACGGCGAGGAAGACCTCGGTCTGGCTGAGGACGGCATGGTCAATGAGGTCGTCGTGGATTACCTGGAGCTCGTTCTCGAGTGCTTTAAGGAGGGGGCCAGGATTGACAGACCCGGAGACCTCGAGGACGAAGGAGTCGACGACAGTGAGGAGAGTCTGGAGCGAGGGTGCCTCAGGAGCGGACTCGAGGAGGAGACGGAGGGGGCGAGAAAGGTGGGAGACGTCCGCCATGGCCGGAGAGGGCAGGATTATCGGGCGCCAACTTCTTTCTCTCCTCCCCTCATGAGGCTGGCTCACGATGTCTGCATGCTCTCCGTCACCTCGTTTAGCCTGCTCACAGCACTCGTGCTAGTACACATAACACACATGATCCCTCACGATGACGATATCTGGCTTCAATCCGCTGCAGCTAGTGGTGCCGTTCGAGTTCTAACTGATTTGTATGCTAAAGCCTTCTGTGATTCCGTTGCTGGCCGCTGGTCTCGTTCATCTGGTGTTCGCATCCTGGTCTGCGCCTGAATTCAGAAGTCAATGTTCTGTTTAAAATGATGGGTCGTCCCACTTGCTCGCTAAAACAACTTGACTTCATATTCACTTAAACCACTCTTCGCTCATCGTCTCAGCATGCATTTCTCTATTGGCCTCCGCACCGCCGCATTGCTTGCTGCGCTTCCCGCCAGTCTTGCCGCACAATATCATCTGAGCGTCTCATACGACTCGGTGTACGACAATTACGATTCATCCGTTAATACCGTCGCTTGCTCCTCGAAGCTCCGGTCAATGGGTTTCGACACGTTGGGTTCCATCCCCACATTTCCAAACATAGGCGGCGCCATGCTTGTCTCCAAATCCGGTTCCGATAACTGTGGAACTTGTTGGAAGCTGGAGTACAACAATCGCACCGTCGCTGTCCTCGTTATCGACTCTACGGACGACGGTTTCAATATCTCGAAGGATGCGTATATTAAACTCGATTCGATGTCCACAGGCAGATTGGAAGCGAGTGCGACCGAGGTCAGCGTTTCGGACTGCGGTCTATGATGTCTCATCCTATTTGTGTAAGCATTTGTGTTTCGATCTCTGCGTAACGTTTGACTTACTCCTCGAATCTAGAACCATTCGTTCATAACGGATATGGGATAGGATACGTCTCAAGATCTAACACTTTCTCTGTATCCTACTTCACGGACCTGTGTATGGCTTATAATCAACCTCCTTCGGCTCGAACACCAGGCCCTTCCCAGTCTTCTCCCACTGATCCGCGTCTGCTCTCTTCTTGTAGGGAGGAAGGTAACCCGCTCTGAGCTTCCTCTTCGCGTCTGTGTCCATCCCGCACCTCTCGTCTCTTGCCTTGACAAAGTCAGGCGGGGGACCTTGGCCGTCTGTGGTATACGAGACCATAATATTGGGTGGTCCGATAGGGAGGTCCGGGGATGTGTCAACAGGCCATGTGTGAATGGTCTTGCCATACGTCTTCTGGATTTGAAGCATTGCAGGCTGTTCGGCAACGTCGTTGACTACACCTGAAAGTGAAGAGGCATCAGGCACCTTGGGTATGTGCGCGGTACATATCGGGGAATGTGTGTACCCGGGACAAGGTCCACGGTTTGCATCTGCAGGAAACCGCTTTCGACCTCGTATTGATGTGAGTGCCAGAATTTCTTCTCGTCTTGGGGTAGAGTGTCGAAGAGCTTTGGACGATGTGTCAGATAGGGGCGCCGAGTTCAGCTTATGTGACGAGCGCTGACCTCCTCTGACACAATGTACTCAATTCCGATGAGTTTGGCATTGGGTTTGTCCGAGTCGTAGATGATGCATTGGTGAAAGTCGTGCGAAAGGTGAGTACAATAATGGTGTGCTTCCAGGTGTCGTGTGCGATCCTGCCTGTGTTGTATAAAGTGACGCGGTGAGATTTCTCGATTCCACCAATGTGATACGGAAAACATACGAGTACACATGGAATGCGCAAAGATGCTGATGAATTGCGCTGATGGGTTTGAAGCTCATCATCGCCGATCCGGCGGCCATGTACGGGGTAGAGTGGTAAATACTGGCTTTGGTGTCGTTGTCCATGATCTCAAAGACGAAATTATGGGCGCATTGCGAGCTGAAATATGCAGGCTGAGGCTTCTCTCGTGCCAACATGACGTCGACCCAGCATCATGTTTCTCCAAAGTCCACGGTAACTTGCTGTTCCTTGACCCTATAATAAGGCTTGCAGCTTGGCGGCGGCCGGACTGATCGTACACGCTCTTAATCTCATAGTGTCTAGACTACTGTGGGATTCCATTCGACGGAGGATTGGAACGAGTTCTTTCCATTAAAGGGAGAACTTGGCACCACCTCAGTGACGGTTCTGCGGAGATGGCGGAAGCACAAGCACCACTTACTCCAGTTATTCCGCGCAGTGGCGTCGGGCGACTAGGCAGTTATCCTCAAGTCTGAAACGGCTGAATAATTACGTGCTTTTGACTCGGCCGTTTGGGTGATCGGACTGATGGGATCCTCGTGCCTCTTTGAAGTGGTGGGTACCTGCCAGATCTCCATCATTGAAATTCCACCGCCACTCTAGTGCAGATCGCTGCCGGAGCCATGCGACGACCCTTCCCGCCTCTTCCCGCGGGGCCGCGATGGCCTGATATCGTATTAGGTCGGTCTCACTTCTGCCCTGATAATAAGTAGATCTCGCTCATGACGACCAAACCAGAGCAGAGCCCGTCGAGCCCCTGTTTGATATTCGAAACTTCTACAACCCGATTTATATACCGAACACTTCTCCTTCGCGGTCGCCCCATGCATTATTCGCTCGTTTTTTACAAGGCTCTTGCGTCATGGCCGTGTCGCTCATTAGTGCCAACTTGGCGACCATCTCTATAGAGAGCTTTCTCTATGGCGTGTTCGTCATGCTTTACACTTCCTCTGTCTATTTTTTGGTGCAGCGTGGCCAGCGAAAACTCATATCATTGGGACTGCCTGCAAAGTCGATATACAAAGCTCCCATGTTCGTTGTGGCTCATATCATTTTTTGCACCGTGACTGGGGTGAGTATCTTTCTTCGTTCAGCCCGCTTCTCGCGCTGAATTTCCCCCAGCACTGGATATTGACCGTGTACAGGCTCTTCTACGCCTTTGTGAACTATGAAGGCGGTACACAGGCTACTTGGGTGTATGCCAACCTTGCGCTTGATTCCGAGATTGTCAAGTCAGGCCTGCTGATGGCTACGCTCGCTGCATCTGATGCCATGATTGTGAGCCAAGTCCCTATTTTCCCTCAAGGTGCCGCGTGAATGGGGAGTCATTCCAGATTTATCGGTTATATGTGATTTGGGCCAGAAATAAATGGGTCGCCATCCCCCCATTGATTACCTGGTTGGGCCTGATTGGTCAGTTGGATCATTGTCATTATTTTCCACGGATTGGATTCAATACAGAACCTCTCAACAATCACAGCGAACGGAATTGGTGTTTGCCTGCAGTTCGCTGAGTTTACCATGGGCGAATACGTGTATGCCGACTATGCTGGTCGATGGGTCACGGCTGACTGCATATTCACGTTCCTGTATGTGGATTTTTCCAAGTTTGTGTTCTATAAATGACCCATGCAAATACGCAGCACGAACGTATATTGCTCTCGTGCGTAGGCATCTTTATTGGCGAGCCTTTTTGTCACATAACATGACCTCTAGTGCTCATTTCGTGGAGAGTGTGGCGCAGTAGATCTCGTGCGAAGCCTCTACGTAACAATAGCGCACTTGTAAGTGTTCAGCTTGCATTCTCTACATTTATGTGTGGTTTAATGCGCTGGACTACTAGGGGGCCCTTGCTATAATAGTGGAAAGCGCCGCGATACAAACGTACGACAGTGCCCTTACTACCTGTGTCAATCAGGGCTTACAGTCTGCCTGATAGTGTCTGGAACCTGATCTTTTTCGTCCTTTTCCAAGTGCGGAGCAATGCCCAGTTTATCGCGATCGACTTATGGAGCCCTATGTCCGGCATCGCGTTCATGCTCATCAACCTACGCGTCGCGCTTGGCTGGTCCGATAACGGCCTGTATCCACAAGATTCCAGCAAACAGCGGGCGTCGGGACAAAACTCATCTCTGACATTCAGTCAGCAATTTCCCATGCAGCCACTCTCGGTGACTATCACACGAACTGTAGACCAGATAGACGACGGAGGGTCTTTCGTCGAAAAACAGCAGGAATTGGCGGGCGAAAACTTTGGGGAAGCTGTCTGAGCTCATCGTGCTCAGATTGTGATCGCAACGTTCGCTTGACTACATTAGCATGCCTGGCAGAAAAAGACGGAGGATTTTCCTCGTCAGCTGTAATTTTGTATCAATTGCAGATCCTCGATGTTGTGTGTAGCTCTAAGTACTGTACCCCAGCATTGTCAATTTGTCACACTCCGGCATATGGAAACCAATGGTAGATTGATACGTCATTGAGGGTGCAAAATTTCAAGATCAGCCACAGGGACACTACTTTCAATTTAAGATGCGAGCGTCATCACATTATACATATGGTGGCAGGAAGGTACAGCAGTGGGACAACCTCAAGCTTGGGCCTCGGATAATGCTTGGAACTGTTGTGCCACGTGAAAAGTAATTGTGCAGATAGCGCGTCGTCGAGATCCAGAATACTACTGCCAGTGTATGAATTCCTGGATGATAGCAATGTGGCGGCGGCCATCCATGATGAACGGGAGGTCGAATACAGCGCTTCCCACAGTCGAGCGCTCAAGAATAGTTCAATGGGGTTAGGGTTATACGCGTAGGAGCGCTCTTGTCCTCATCGTCGCCAACGTCGAGCTCGGCTTCAATTCTACTTGATTCATAAAATTCACGGTGAGTCTGATCTCCTCCTATGTCGATTCTCGGGTCAAATGTGGCCTAGTCGTGATTAGTTGTAGGGATGGATTACTTGCCGACCGCTCGGATGTACTGACGGTCTCTGAATCTCCCCAGATGTCCGCCACCATCGAGGATCTCTCTGACCACTCTGAGCACGAGCATGATCACGAGGACCACGACGAGGACCCCACATCTCAGGCTGCCCTCGACAAGATCCAGTCGCGCTCTGAGCGCAAGGCGAGGAAAGCTCTGCTCGGTCTGGGCTTGAAGAAGGTCCATGGCATCACTCGTGTCACCCTCCGGAGGCCAAAGAATGTATGCTACACGATCATCTACAGACCGGAATATCGACTGAAGAGTACTGTCAATAGGTCCTGTTCGTGATCGCGTCGCCGGACGTGTACAAGTCGCCCAACAGCGACTGCTACATCGTCTTTGGCGAGGCCAAGGTTTGTCGCGTTCGATCAGACAAATCTTAATGTAGGTGCTGATGTTAAACTACAGATTGAGGACATGAACTCGCAAGCACAACTCTCGGCGGCGCAACAACTCGCCACCGGTGCCCCTACGGGAGTCCCCAGCCTCGAGACATCTGGCGCAGGTGGCGATCAGGAAGATGACGATGACATCCCTGAGCTTGAAGCCGTCGAGGAGGGGCCTGTCGATGAGACTGGCGTTGATCCGAAAGACATTGAGCTTGTCATCCAGCAGGTCGGATGTTCGCGCGCGAAGGCGGTGCGTGTACTGAAAGAGAGCGGAGGTGATCTGATCAATGCCAGTGAGTATATTCAGTATGTCTCTTGGTCTGTGCCTAACGTTATATTTGTATTCAGTTATGGCTGCGAGCGAGTAGGCTGTCTGCCCTCTACCTGCTGTATATTAGCTTTCGGATTGCTACCACTCAATATCCAAAACCCTATTGATAAGGGATCTGGTGCATTTGTTTGCTCTCTGTACACATGCGAGTTGACTACAACACATGTCGCGAATTGCCTGGCATAGAAGACATGGAAGAATCAACCGACTGCTCTGGTCGCTTTATGCACGTTTGTTGAAGTCGTTTCTATTTTCGCCAACATCGGATTTCTACGTAGTAATTCGACCTCTCCCAACCGTCCTGCACAATATCGATGCCCGTCATGTTTCGGATGTGTTTGCTATCAGGCGACTCGACCCTCAGTTCGTGAGGGCTACCAATGACTAGCCCGAGCTCGTTCGCTGCTTCAGAAATTAGCCCAGATAACTCACCCTGTGCAAACATATGATAGTAACGGTTAAACACCGCCGGCTTCTCTGAGGTCCCAGTTGTATTATCTTCTGGCGAAGGTGAGACCGCTTCTTCTTCCTGATATGTACTACCGGATCCATTGCTCCTCGTTCTCGATGACTTCGCCGATGGCTTCGGTTTCGAGGACATTTGGGAAAGTACCCATGGGACAAACACGTCCTGACCTTTGGATTGACCGTTAAGTTCGTCGGATTGTTCAGACGGAATGCTTCGTTTGGAAAGCTCGTCTTGCTCTATGGCCCAGACATAAATCAGGGCACGGCCATGCACTGGTGAGATGCTCTCAATGATGCGCTGATTTGAAGTAAACACCGGTGGCCTGTTGACCATAGACCGCTCCAAAATGACACACCTGGACCGCCACCTTTCGTCGTGCATGGGTTGACAAATGATGTATCGTCGCAATCGAGATGGCGTAGTCCTATATCCGCATACATACGTCGTTAGGGTAAAGGAATGGGGGAATAAACCCACGGCGCACATACGAATGCTCCGCGCCTCCAGGGCAGACCAAGAACATCACCCCACACCACCTCCCTACTTGCCTCTCCTCCACCTGCATTTCGGGCGATCCCTAGTAAATTCCTACTCCTGTCAAGGCCGATGGTCCACACACTTCCCGGACGTTCCAGAGGCAAGGGTAGGTATTTGCCATTGCCAGTGCCTGAGTCGAGTCCTATCCATCCAGTCGGTAAAGAAGAAAGAAATTGCGCGATGACGGGCCAAGGCTAGTGCTATTTTCAGATCCTGAGAGTATGGCCTGCGGTTTGGTAGCTATACCTTATATCGAGTAGAGGAAAAATGGGGAGCAATTTCCTCGTAGATGGCGTGGACATGAGCATCCTCATATATTTGCGGATTGTCTGAGACAATGACGGGGGTCACAGCAGTCGGCATCAAATAATACAACAGCACGAAGCAGGAAATAAGTTATGTCGCCAGGTAAAATACAACAAAGACAGGCTGGGGGTAGAGATGGTGGAGAGAAGCACAAATCCCGCGCGCCGCTCTATTGGGCCTCCGATTCGCTGTACCCCATCTCATCGTCTAGTAGCTCACGAAATCTACTACCATTGAACGGAGGAAACGGTACCAGTTTGACGTTTGTCAGACCCTGGATGGTCTCAGACAACGTGCTGCAGCAGCATGAATCAGAAATCATTCATTGGAGCGGATGACAGTGCTCACGAGACAGTAGAAGACTGCAGATGTCCGAGCGCAGCTAGAGCGTCGGCGAGTTCCTGCTGGTGGTTATCCAATAAGGTGGGGTTGGGAACGACTATCAGTGGCTTGCCGAGGCGAAGGACATCGAGGATGGTGCCAGAGCCTGCATAGGAGGTCTGGAACGAAAGATTATACAGTCGAGGAACGCATTCGTACCGGCATGGCTGATTATTAACCCCGCCTGCTCGTACTCCTCCTGCAAAGAGGGCCTGAACTTCCACACCTCTATGTCAATCCCATCTGCTGCAGTGCGCGTGAGCCCCTCCCCCGATGCCTCAAAGGAGCTCGCATCAAAATCCGAGTTGCCGGACTGGACGACGAGTCTCGAGTATCCTCGCGAGCGCAGCGCATCAAGCACGGAATCGGATAGGACGGCCTGGACGAGAGTGTCAAAGCGGGTAGAGCCCACCGTCACGAAGGTAGTGGAACTAGTGCGCGGACGGAGAAATGACTCGGTCGCTGACTCGGACGCTGGTGGACTGAGAGACATGGCATCCCTTGCTTTGCTCCTTGCACTCGCAGCCAGTGTATAAGATTTCCGCTGTATCTGATCTGCTTGGAACTCCTTGCCGGCGCTCGCTACCATGGGCTACACACTCTGCCTTCTAGGTCTTTCTTCGCTATTTCTATGCATCGTGCTCTCGCTAACCGACAGGTGACCAGGATGCGGAACGATGGGTATCGCGGTAACCTCAGGCGTCCTTGCCACTCTGGACGCCAAAGCAGCCGCCGCCGCTCCTATCCAGCACGCCAAATGGGAGTCTCACACTCCTGGAACCACTACTCCTCGCGGGCTGGAGGATGAAACACTTCCATCTCAATTTATAGCCTGTGTGACCCGGGAAGAAAGCGCGAAGAGGCTCAGAAACGCCTTCGCATCCCCGAATGCTGTCGGATGTAGAGTGGAGGTCCTAGTGTCACAGAATGTGAAGGCCGCCCAAGCGTCCAATGTCATTTTGCTGTGGTGGGTCTTCTCGTCCGACCTTTCCCCCTGTGGTTTACCTTCTGCTTCCGTTAGCTGCAAGCCTCAGCAGGCACACGACATCCTCAATGAGCCCGGTATGAAGGAAGCACTGGATGGGAAACTGCTGATCAGTATTCTTGCCGGAGTGACGATCGCTCAGATGTCAGCTCTGGTCTACCCAGCTACAAAAGTGATCCGGGCTATGCCTAACACTCCTACCAAAGTCCGTTCCTTCGTACCCAAACTGATATGGATAATTTGAAAGATGTATGCGATCACTTCAATCCGACAGATCCGCGAGGGAATGACCGTGGTCAGCACCCTCCCGCCGTCGTCCACGTTCGAGATTGACCGCTCGATTATCTTGAACATCTTCTCATCCATCGGACGGTGTCGTTTCCTCGAAGAGAAACACTTTGATGCTTGTACCGCACTCTCTGGCTCCGGCCCTGCCTTTGCATGCATATTTCTGGAAGCTATGGCAGACGGAGGAGTGATGATGGGCTTACCCCGTGCTGAGGCAATCGAATTGGCTGCTCAAAGTGAGTGACATCGAGTGTTTTATGGTGCCAAGATTTACGGCGATCTAGCTTTGCAAGGAGCTGCCCGTATGACATTATCGGGAATACATCCTGCACAGCTGAAGGACTCTGTTACAAGTACGTCTCACCTTAAACATACGATTTGTCCGCTTAAACCTTTTCTAGCCCCGGGCGGTTGCACAATTGCTGGCCTCCTCGCATTAGAAGACGGCAAAGTACGGTCTACCATCGCCCGCGCTATTCAAATTGCGACTGAGAGGGCATCGGAACTCGGCCAACCCACAAAGCATTGAAACGCTCCTTGAAAGTGCCAGCAAATAGCTAGGGCACAAGCAATGCATTAGTGACGAAAAGATCATTTTATTCGGAAACTTTGTAATACCAATATGCATACATCAACATGGGGCCGAATACAACATATTATCGCATACTGAATGTCACCGTCAAATGTATTCGATCACTAACAGAAATAAAGTGATCGCCAAGGTGACGGGTAGTACATCCTGACGAATGCACCTGACGTTCTAGCTCCCATAAAATGAGGATGTACGTGTGGCAATAATGAACGACACCCAGAGTGTTGGAGAGCAACGAAAATACTGTGAAAGATAATCCGCGAAGTCAAGCAGAAGCAATGGGCACAAGATATGATTATATTGCACAGACTACCCGTTTAAGACTAGAAAAACCGTCAGCACATTGAGCACGCGTCAGCGAACGTTATACGCACCATTATATGTACATAAGCGGGCCATCCGACAGCCCAGACTACTGTTGCTTGCGCAGAAGTAGTCGTGTATCCCGCGTGTGAACCACTCCATCCATGCGGACATGATTAGAAACCAGGCCTAATGATCAAACGATCAACAGGATAGAGAGGCAAAATAAAGCACGGGACATCCGTAGACATTGTTTCATCTCGCTCGGAAGAATGAGCGCCACTCCATGGGAGAATGTGGTGAGACGCTAAAGTGAAAGAGCGGCTGAGAAGACAAACGCCAGCGATGCTTAAGTGACGTGTGTGAAATAGGAAGAAAATGGAATTGTCCGATAGAATACAGAAGGGGAGCCTGAGAGTGCGCAGCAGTAAGAATGTTGCTCTTATGGAGTGGGCATTGGGACAGCAAACTCACCAATAGTACTAGCCCTACAACTATCACCGATCTTCAAAGAATTGGATATGTGAGAACGAGATCAGCAACGGAAAAATAACGGACGTACAGAAATCCAGCGTCTCGTCGACCCGTTTGACGTTTTGCTGGTGAAGAAGAAAGAAAGAGGTCAGAATTTGTACGCCAGCACGCATAGGCGCCAAATAATAGCAAACAACGCACTTTCCACGCCTCCTCGAAGTCTACTGGAAGGACTATATAACGGTTTTTGCGAACCGCTAATGTGCGAATGAGCGTCCATTCTGCACTCCGGCCTGCGAGAGTCTCACCTTGCAAGCCAGCAGCTTGAACAATCGACGCAATTTCTGCGGATGATAACCGTTCCGGCCGCGATATGTCTATGCATAAATTAGATCGGCCAGTTGCATGGCGACGCTAGGACTCACAATCCTCTAGGTCAACGTCCGGTCCCAAATTCATCTTATTTGTGACCGTTTGGAAAATGAGACGCTTCTCACGCCTCGAAGGTAGTGGGAACTCAATCTTCCGGTCAAGACGACCAGGACGGAGCAGCGCGGGGTCCAGGGTATCCGCACGATTTGTGGCCATGATGACCTGTAAGGAGGAAAGTAAATGCTGTGATAATGATTGTCTACCCCAGATAGAAAGCCCCCACCTTCACGTTGCTCCCCTGATCGAATCCATCCATCTGATTGAGCAGTTCGAGGAGGATTCGTTGTACTTCACGATCGGCACCCGTTTGTGCGTCGAACCGTTTCGTGGCAATGGCGTCGATCTCGTCAATGAAGATGATCGCAGGAGCGTTTTCTCTTGCGAGTCGGAAGACATCACGGACCATGCGCGGACCCTCACCAAGATATTTCTGCACGAACTCGCTGCCGACGACACGGATGAATGAAGCGGTGGTATGGTGCGCCACCGCCTTGACCAACATGGTTTTACCAGTCCCTGAAAATTGCTATGAACAGGAAGACGTAGCGCGTCGAACAATTAAACGGACCTGGTGGACCATATAGCAAGACACCTCGTGGAGGATCGATACCAATCTTCTTGTACAGGTCGAAGTGCGTTAGCGGTAGTTCCACCGCCTCTCGAATTTCCTGCTTCTGAGAATCCATACCCCCCACGTCCTGGTATGACACGTCCGGCTTCTCCTCTTTGCCAAGCATCGCAATGGAAGAGTCCGCCTCGGGTGGAAGGATGTCTACGAGCGCATTTGAATGTCGGTGTAGGGCGACGGAGGACGAGGGCTTGAGGAGTTCGCGATCGAGGGTCGAGAGGATGCGAACGACATAATTTGAACCCGTTGTCGACCCCACGATAGCTGTCTGTTGGTCTATGGGCTCGAGGAACTGGCCAATGACCAGTGGGACGGATTGAATGCGCTTCACTTCTTCCTGCGCACGAATGAGTTCGCGCTTGAGGTTCGCTTGCTCGTCTTTAATATAGCTCTCCTGGATCTCCAGCATCTCCAAATGCCGCGCTAGCTTCTTGTATTTGACATACAGGTCCTCCTCTTGGAGTTCCTGAAAGAGCGCAGCTTTCTCTGTCACGACATGCTCGAATGTCGGTTCCTTGGGGCGTGGTACATATTATCGTTCACCAGAGGAGCTATGCAGACGCACCTGTTTCTGAATTTCGATACCAATTTCATCCATGGTAGCAGCGTGATTTCTAAAGCCGAAAACACTGGTCGTTGTCCGAGTCGCGGTGCGAGCTGACGCGTCGACGCGTACACAGTAGCTTGCTTAGCGCCCATCGTGGGTGTGATCACATGACAGGAGAGGTATGCAAAGTTGCGCCACCCAGATATCCCTGTCAACCGTCCAGTGTTCAAACGGCCGAACGCTGTATGCCCTGAGCTAGGTACATCCATCATGGCTCACGTTGTCACTCCTCTGGATCAGCCTTCAAATTACAAGGACTCGCAAGCACGCCTCGACCGTCAAAAGCAAAATGAAATGCTCGCGCGGTCATCGACCCTCTATGTGTGTGTTCTCCTCAAGTGATACGCACGATTCCGCTGACACGCTGTGCGTCAGATTGGTAACTTGAGTTTTTATACAACAGAAGAACAGATATATGAGATATTTTCAAAATGCACCAGCCCGGAGGAGGGCGGGGGCATTAAACGTATCATCATGGGTCTTGACAGGAATACGCGGTGCGCATGCCCTTGGACAGACCCCTCACATGCTCAAACTTACCCCGCATACTGGCATACACGCAGTACTCCATGTGGCTTCTGCTTCGTGGAATACTACACACACTCGGAGGCGCTGGCATGTCTGCGGTACATCAGCGGCACGAAGCTCGACGAGCGCATCATCCGGTGTGACCTCGACCTCGGCTACCGCGAGGGGAGACAGTTCGGCAGGGGGAAGAGCGGTGGTCAGGTGCGCACACTCGTGTCCGACTCGCGGCTTCCATTTGACTCAGTCTATCACAACGTCTTGTGCCACGCCGCAGGTGCGAGACGAGCATAGGCAGGACTACGACCCCGGGCGTGGTGGATGGGGCGCCCAGGCGCAGCGGCTCGAGATTGAACGCCGCAGAGAGGTCGAGGAGCGTTACGCGGACGCACACGAGGGTCCCGGGGCTGTCGCGGGAGGCGGAGGCGACTGGAAAGAAGCAGGTAGCGCAGACAACCCTCTCAAGCGTGCGCGGTCCCCGGACGACGAGGGGGACGCGGCTCGATCGGTATGCTCGCTTCCTTCTTCGTATGCCCGCGGAGAACTGAATGGATGTCTCTAGGGTGCTCGCGCGCGTTTGGAAGACCACGACCAGGCGCGCATGTAGATCATCTTACTACATTTCTCGCAACGTTGTACGATACGCGGTGGTTAATTTCGAATTTTCCCCGAGCAGTGTTAAAGGATGAGGCCAGAGCAACGGTCCGAATCCAGAACGGCGGCCGAGAGCGGGAATGCTGTTGTTGGCACTCAACAATGCGAAAATGCCAACAGACTAGGCTACTAGATTAAGGAAGGTCTCAATGCCTTCCCTTCCATTCCCATGTGGCAGTCCGGACGTGAGTACAGAACCGCAGGGCAAGCTCTATTCTGAAGTGGTGTCTGCCAACATGTGGATTTCTGTCACATACATACCCGTCCGGGAGGGTGCTCCGCGCTCCGTACGTGGACACTCGCGCATCAGTCTTACGGGAAATGACGTTCAGTCGCTTCATGAGTCTGACTACATTCAAGCCAAGTCCTTCCGGAACTCGTTCGTGGGTACTGTGACAACCCGCATCATTCGAGTGCATTCCATCATCATCATCCCGTAACTGCGAGGAAATCACTGAGGTGTCATTAGGGTCTAGAGTCGGAGAAAGCGCTGGTTTGTAAACCACTCTCTGAATGGATGTTCTATGAACATGTCAATTATTACCAGGATTATGGTACAGTACAGTGTGTGCAGTCCACCGGGACGCGAACGTTCGCTTTGGAAGGTCATCAGTATAGCACCTGCGCGCGAATAGGATATCTGGTGCCATGGATATCGGACTGGAAGAACGTCATGTGTACACGGCGAACTAGACGGTGGGCTTCCGAGATTGATGACGTGCGGACAAAGTATCGGGATATAAACGTGACCCGCTGCACCTCCGGGCTGCAAGGACGAAAGTAAGAGATGGAGGGTCAGCATCGCGCCCGCTGACTGATGCGAGCTGGGAAGACCACATACACTTCAAGCTTGATAATTTCCTTCTGTCCGCCCTCGGAGCCGGCAAGCTTGAAACTCTTGAGGTACTCCCTTAGGCTTTCTGGAGTCATCTTGCCTGGCATACCGTAGATGACGACGTTGCGCCCTTGATTGGACACGCCGCCGTCCGGACCCATGCCCATGACGAGACCACGCTCCGCTGCCTCCAAGCGGCCCTTGGTGCCGCGTGTCCTGAAGGGAGGTCGAGTCTTCGCGCTAGGATCTGCGGGGTGCGAGGCGATGGTGGACGCGCCGAGCATGCTCCTGTTAAGCGACTTTGCAGTATTCTGGGCGAAATTTGGGCTGGTGATGGTTAGCCAGGCGCGGCCGGTCGGAGTGAAGCGGTGGTAGTCGATAGCAACTGGGGAGTAACACGGTCGGTGAAGAGCAGCGTGCAGGAAGGCAGTCGACGTACCACGAGAGACATGGACGGCCTTGTGCTTTGCACACAACCTGCGGATGTCGGCAGGGGTGGCCGTTCGCGGTACGTTGGAGAGCAGGACATGTGTCGGCTCGGGTGGAGGCGCTGTGTCTGGAGTGAGCACGAGGAAAGGGCAAAGGTGGAGTGCCCACCTGCGTCGCGTGGCCGCTCACGGAGTTGGCGGACGACCTGGGAGGTGGCTTTGGAGCCCCATCTGAGGGCGGAGGAAGCCATTCGGGCGGGAGGCAGACTCGCTGTTTTCTGAGACTGCAAGGCAAGGAGGCGTGGGAATGCGGGAGCCGAATGGACGGAGACTGGGAGCAGAGGAAGGAAGATTCCGGCGCTGAACTCGAGTCCGCAAACGTCCCGGGGGCTGTTGGCAACATCCAGCTCGGAGCTCGGAGCACAGTCTTTGTTCTCGCTCGGACGGTTCCCGAATCACCTAGCGCGTGTCTGCGGCGTGTGTGGGTTCTGTTCTAGCCCTGTGAGAGGACCACTCTGGGGCCTCCCTCAGGGTGTTACAGGTGCCGCGTCGAAGGTGTGTGGAATGAAAACGAGACATGGTTCACCCGGCCGACGAAGATCTGACGCAGCAGAGTGGAGGAGGATGGTGGCGGGCCGTCCGCTGACGAGGGAGCCGGGAACAGAGGACCAGGACGAGGGCGGGCACAGCGGCCGATGGCCCTCTCGTCGGTCAGAGTGACGCCATGGCCTCCCCCGGCGTCCGCGTCTCCAGCCTTCGAAGCTGACGAAAGCCGCCGCCCCGTCTGCCTGGACCACGATCGCTCACACAACACGCCTCCTCCCATGACTAACCTTGTCCGGGCTGTCCTTACCCGGTGTCTCTCCATTCCCTTTCTCCCCGACCTCCCCATTATAAATACCATGACCCTCCTCCCGACTCCCCAGCTCATCAAGTCTCTGCTCAAGACCAGCTAGCCCCCGAGTGGCCTCCCAGCTCATCTCTAATCCTCTAACCTCCTCCTAACCTCCTCCCAACCTCTTCACCGCCATGGCCAACCACGCCCTCAACCTCAACCCTCCCGATGCTACCCTTCACATTTCCACCCATGGCTCAGATTGGTTGTGGGCCGCCTTCTCCATCTTCACCTTCTCCCTTCTGGTTATGATTGTCCTGGATCTGATGGTACGCCTCTTCCCCTCCGAGCGTATCCACCTCCGTCTCACCTCCCCTTCTCTAGCGCCCTCGTGGCACCCGCCTCTTCCACCAGATTGCCATCGTCATCCTCGCCACCTTTACCCTCGGCTACTTCTCCATGGCTTCTGACCTCGGCGCTACCCCCATTCCCGTCGAATTCCGTGGCCATGGCAGCGATCCTACCCGCCAGATCTGGGTATGTCCCTTGCTCTACTGGCACACACACAACATCTAACCGTACTGCAGTATGTCCGCTACATCCAGTGGTTCATCACCTTCCCCTTGCTCCTCCTCGAGGTCTTGCTCGCCACTGGTCTCCCTCTCTCGGACATCTTGACTACCCTCTTCATGTCCATCGTCGTCGTCATTTGCGGTCTCGTCGGTGCTCTCGTTCACAGCACCTACAAGTGGGGCTACTTTGTCTTTGGTGTTTTCGCCCTCTTCTACGTCTGGTATGTCCCTTCATCTTATTGCACAGATGGAATTTGCTTATCAGTTCTCCTTCAGGTATGTGCTACTCTGGCATGGCTCGAACACTGCCTTCCCCGGCAGCGGTGCCCTGCGCCCTGGCTACCTCCAGTCTGCTGGATTCCTCGCATTCATGCTCATCACCTACCCCATCTGTTGGGCGTGCTCCGAGGGCGGCAACGTCATCTCCCCTACATCGGAGATGATCTGGTACGGTATCCTCGACGTCCTTGCCGGCCCCGTATTCCTCTTCTTCTTCCTCTGGCATCTCAGTGGCGTTGACTACGCATCCTTCGGCTTCACTTCCGGCAGGTCCACGGGCACTGCGGTCTCGGAGAAGCCCCCAGTGGCAGCTTAAAGGTGTAGCTGATTGAGCCTCGCGCACAATCTGTTCGGAGCATACCAAAACATGACGACTACATTTCACGCCTTCTCATGATTTCTTTCTATGCGCATCGTTCACTAGCTTGATTTTAATATCCTTTCTCACTATCCCCCCTTGCGACCTTTGCATTTACGACGATCTGCTGTACTCATAGATTCCTGCATTAATGCTGTGTCCCAATTCTTCGATCTACTCTCCTCATTCAGTCTGTATTGGGTTCCGTCAGCGGAACTGCTCTGTACACGTGTAGATCATTCATAATGTGGAATTTGCTCGTCCTTTCTTGATATTGCTGCGCAGATCTCAGTTGAACTTTTCTGGAGATTCAGCAGTGCGCATCTTCCGAAAGACCGTTGTAAGGGGACTACTACCGCCCTAGCTTGGCGATCATATATGCATAAAGCTCTGGCGTTTCGGCAGCGCGTGTGAGCGCTCCACATCCATCTCGCCTTCCAAAACGGGCGGAAAGTGCAAGTGGCGCACCTCAGCCACAGCGACCCTCCTCCCACCTCAACCCCAATTCGCCCAAATGTCCTCCCGACACGACTACCGCCGGCGTGACGGGCGCGACGAGCGCGACAGAGACAGGGACAGAGAGCGCTACAGCCGGCACCGCGATGCACCACGCAGGAGCCGGTCGAGGAGCCCCGCACGCCGCGGCGGCGAGAGGGACAGGCGCGCACCCGGTGTGTTCTCCGCATGTGTATACGTATCCGCGATTCTGCATGCTAACTGTGCGCGTGCGCGGGGACCTGCAGACAGGCGTGACCACGGACGGGACGACGGCAGGCACGAGCGGAGGAGGGACGAGCGAGACAGGCGGGACTATGACCGCGGGCGGGACGCGCGCAGGGAGTCCGCCCCGCTGGAGAGGGAGCGGGATAGGGCGCGGGAGGCAGGGATGAGGGCGGGGGAGCGGGAGCCCGACGTGCGGACGGGCGAGCGTGATGGGCGACATGCGGACGGGCGTGCCGTCCCTGTAGCGTCGGAGAGCAAGCAGGCAGCCTCGCGTTCTGGTGCGTCTGTGTGATCCGCCGTCGTGCTCGTAGCGGTCTAATCGGGTGTTGCAGCTACGGGCGGCTCAGAGGAGCCAGCCAGTGTGCAGCCGCGGCAGGATTCTGAGGCGGGCTTGGAGAGCGGCGAAGAGGGCGAAGCAATGGAGACGGTGAACGACGACGACGAGGCCATGATGGCCATGATGGGGCTTTCTGGGTTTGGGACCACCAAGGTACGTGATGGCTGGTGCATGTCCCATGGGAAATTTTCATCGCTGAACTGCACTCGTCTGTCGATACAGGGCAAACACGTCGAGGGGAATCAGGAAGGTAACGTGCAGGTCAAGAAGATGCGCACATGGCGCCAATACATGAATCGGTGCGCATATATACAACTTGCAAACTAAAAGGATTGACGTCTCTTTGAATTACAGACGTGGAGGATTTAACAGGTACGAGCGTGTTTCCGAATTGTTGCGTAATAGCTTAACCTCCCCTTTCAGACCACTGGACAAGATCAAATAGTCCGTCACCAATTCCGAGGTGCACCATTGCTGCATTAGTGATATCGCTGTATATTTTGGCGAGAGCAGCCGCTCACAAATCTTAGTGAGCTGGTCCAATAGTATCCGATCTACGTTCGCATAATGGTCATCGCGGAGTCGAACTACCATTCACTGTTTGTAATGTCCGCATAGATATGCCATATAGCTCTTTCACTCGATGATCCTTCGAATCTAGAGCGACGATCGTGGCTGTAAATGGTACACACCATGGAAGTCCGATGAGTATTGGACACATAACAGTACAGGCGCTAGACGAAAACGAGATATCCATTGAAGGACATGTGGAGAGACAAAAGGAAAATTAGGTGAAAAAAGGGATAGGACGAGCGCATCAAGCGAACTGGAGAAAACAGACGACATTATGCACAACTGCTCAAAATTATGGCAAACTAATCAGAAACCGTGGATCTTGATCGTGGTTCTCGGAATGCCTTCTTCGACAAGGAAATTCGATATCTTCAAACGCTGGTCACCCTGGAGCTGAATAACCTGACCGGCCTCCTCATCCTCAACGAGGGTGCCGTTGCAAGCGAATTCCTAGCAGGGGGAGGAGTTAGTTACATGCCACGCTAACCGCTCTCTTTCAGAGTGACATGCCTTCTTGAACGCCTTCAGGAGCTTCTTTGCATCGTACTCTGGGAGTGCGAAACCCGAGTCAGCTGCCTAGGAACACGGCGCCTCCGCACTGCATCCACGTACCTTTAGGTAGACCTTGCAAAGTCGTCAACGTCTTCCGTCCGTTTCGCTGCTGGATACGAACGTGGATGTAGTTCTGCTGAGATCCGACGTCTGCGTTGCTGGCGAGCGGGTCTCCCTCGTCTGCGAAGGGGTCTGCAAAACACAGTGCAAAGGCATCATCGATAAGCGCCTCTGCACGAGGACGACGCTGCACGCACCGAATGTGTTGAGGTTCTGCACGCTCATGCGACGGTCGTAGAGAATATGGAGAAGGGGTTTGGAAGATAGAAAGGAACTGAGTGGGGATTGCTTGTCGTACAGAGAAACGTGAAGCTGACTGAGTGACGCTCGAGTGGGTCTTATAGCCAAAGTTATGTAATCGCCAGATCTTCCACGGGCAAGAGCCGAACGGCGTAATCTCGTCGCGGACCAGCTCTCCCCCGTCCGTCTTAAGTCGGACCCGTTACTCGTTGCTGTGCCGCCTTATTCGACAACACGCGCATCGCATAGCCATGGCCTCTGCTTCAGACACCGCCCAAAAGAGAAAACCACCGACTTTCAGACACCTCCCGACAGACCGCGGTATGTATCATGTGCATTGATCCTTTGCGCCGGCTCATCGCCTTTGTAGCCAAAAAGCTCAAACGCTCCTGGGTCGAGAAACAAAAAATAAAAAGCCAATGGAAGGCGCAAAAGCGTAAAGAGGGCCTCGAATCCAAGGGACGACGATTGGCGGACTTGGTCGCGAGCACTGATGAGCAGGAAGAGAAGGCACAGTCTAGCAACGCGGAATCTTCTGAACCAGTAAATGCTGCTCCTACTGTTTCCATTGAGGAAGAAAGCGGTAATGAAAATGAGAGCAGCGAAGACGAGCCCGAGGATCGCTCGTCGCCGCGCAAGCCTCCGGCAAAAAAAGCATCGCCTCGCGAAGATACTCCAGGACGGCAGCCAACACTACGCGAACTGCAAAGCCAGGCTTATTCGAGATCGTCTCTCCACACCCGCAAATCGGATCCTCTCCACCGTCGCCGTGGCTCCGATATGAAACGTGCCGATGCCCCGGCTGGTGGCAGAGGACGCGGTCGCGGACAAGGTGGCAGGGGAGCGGCCAGTTCTCAGCGAGGCCGTGGCCGGGGACAGCCCGACATGCGTTTGCGTATGAATGTGATGCTCGAGAAAATCAAAAGAGACTTTACCTGACAAAATCAAAGCAATCTGTCTGCACGTGGCAGCATGTCAAATGATACACTGTCATATTCTCGTCCAAGATACCAGCCACCGGGGAAGGACTACGCATTATCTACGCCCCATCTGCTTTATTATCATTATCATCCGGCTTGCTCTCATTTGTCCGGATTTTCTCGCCTTCGCCGCTTGTTTCGATCTTCGCCCGCACAAACCGCTGTTCTAAGCTCCCAAAAAGAGGTTTTGAGGTGACCGTAGTCGTTGCAGTCAAAGGCTGCGGATGGTCGCTCAGATGCCCCGGACTGGGATCGTCAAGTTCGTCCACCAAGCCTAAAGCTTTTTGTTCTGGCCCTTCTGCGCCTGCAATGGGCATGACTGCTGCACCTCCTGCACTCATGGCGGGCAGGACGAGCGGGCTTGGTGGAGGACTTCGTGAGCTGGATCGTCGCGCGTCTTCGTGCAGGAAAGGGATAGGCGAGAAGATAGGTGTCGCAGGTATTGAAAGGGGGTTGATCCCGATAGGCATTTGGCTCACGCCTGCACGGCTACTCGACGCTTCAGTAGGAACAGGAAATGCGTCCCATGTCGAAGTGACAAGAATAGATCTTTCTACTGCACGGAGATACTTGCCCAGTTGCTTGTAGTGTTCGGTGGGGCGTATGCACAATTCGCAGACGCGTTGAATTGTGAACGGTGGACTTCTATTGAAGACACCGGCTGAGTGACCAATGGTGAAGTGGATGAGATTGGCTCACTGGTCAAAGTCGTCTAGTTGCGTGAAAATTGCATCCCTGTATTCCGCAGCCTCCTTCTCATTCAATGCATTTTTGGGGATTTCGTTCGGACCTGCAGTGTCACGCAAACGAGGGGGAAAGGGCGGAAGTTTGAGACCACCAGGGCACGGTGCAGCTATAACCGTGGTCTTCTCGTACTCCCTCTTGATCTCGCCCGACAGAAAGAGTGACACATTCTGAGAGGGATGTCATGAAGATAGCTGTACATGCGAGTGGGCCGGACCTACCTTGTCGATTTTGTACTTGATGATATCTCGCAGCAATGTCCATTTGGAGATACTACGCCCGACGCCTTAGAGCATTATTGAATGAACAAGAGCGTGAGCCATACTCAACAACATCTGTCGATGCGACCTCTTCCAGCAGGTCATCATGTTCTGACCCCTCGAAGTACCGCTTCAGCGAACCAGCGAGACGAGTGGTGAGCTGTACGCGTACCTTGTTTCCACTCGAAACTGCTCATGTCGTGGACTGGGCGTGCAGAAAGGTAAATGCGGCAAGAGAGTGATCGGGGGAGGGCTGTGGACGAGCTGAGGCGGATGTTTCGGGGTCGATGATGAACGTTCCCACTCTCCTCCCTACAGCCTCCAGTAGGATCACACAGTCTGTCTTTAATAATAATATGTCGAGGCTGCAAGACTTGGCGTAGAGTGGGAATGCTCTCGCTTCGAGTGACAGACGACTGTACATAAAGAGCTCCAGCCTCTCTGACCGCTCCAGTGCTCCCTCCCACTATCTCCCGGCAATGAATTTCTCCATGACGGACAGCAGGAGGCGGCGCCAGCTCATCCACTCCTACGCGCCAGATTGGTGAGTCCTATTGAGCATGTATGATTAAAATCCATGTCAATGTATGGCTGTTGCACAGGGCCGTCACCGCGATTCTTGGGTATGCTTTAAGTTTTTAAATCCTCTTGCAGCTGATGTCAATTTATGTCCGAACAGTATATTAGTCATCGCAGTGGATGAGGTTAATGGTTTCAAGCGTGACTTCTCTCTGCAAGACTCGAGGTAAGCACTCGCTCTCACCGCTACGAAGAGTCTGACATGGGACATCAGCTTATACCATCCGTGAGATCTACCGAGTGTTCGATTACTGTCTTCTGCTGATCCACTGTCCCAAGCTATGCGGTCCATGAACGCGTCCCGGTATGTGCAGTCTTCTCGTACAGGCGCATAACAATTCATCCCATCTAGCCAGTCGCGTTGTACATGCTTTGTGGATTTGCGCCATTCGCATTTCAATGTGTCATCAACTATCTTACCCTACGCTCTTGGTGGGATGCACACAATAGTACGCTTGGACGTGCGTCGTATTTGTTCGCAAATATACTGCATTGCTGATATGAACTCTGTGTAGTCGTCTTGAGTCTTGCTCTAACTGGAGCTATAACTGAATTCGTCAAGCTAACTGTGGGTCGGCCACGACCTGGTATGCTATTCGCTTGCGATTATAATGAGGTAGAACCTATTTTGTATGTTGTAGACTTGATTGCACGATGCATTCCTCAAGCCGGCGCTGTGGACCCGCCTTATGGTCTGTCCACATACGCGATCTGCACACAGACGGATAGCTATTTGATGAGGGACGGCTGGAAAAGTTTTCCAAGTGGACATGCCAGCTGTATGATCAATTCATCCAAGCGAGCTTCATTCTGTCTAACTGTCGCCCACCAGTGTCATTCGCCGGGCTTGGCTTCCTGTCTTTCTACCTATCTGGGAAAATCCATCTCTTCGACCGCAGAGGTTGTGCGGTACGTCCTTCAGTCAAATGCGCCGCTTTCCATGTCTCAAGCGGTGCAATCAGCCGAAGGTATGGGCCGCTCTTACGCCACTCTCTGTCGCTGCCCTCGTGGCCATCTCCCGAACCATGGACTATCGTCGTGCGTACCCATTATCTAAATTAACATCTACTACCAAGCTGAGTCTATATCATTGTGCAGACCACGCGACAGATGTGATCGCAGGTGCCTTGCTCGGCATTGCTGGCGCATACTTTGCGTACCGTCAGTACTATCCATCACTCGCTTCTGAGCTCTCACATCGCCCATACTCCCCTCGCGTTAAACGCGAGGTGCTCCTCCCTCTTCATCAACGTGGCGAATCACAGTCAACGTCTTTGTCAGACAGTGAGCTGCGCGAATTGGCAAATGAGACCGCGCCGAGAGACGAGCAAGGACATGAGCTGTGGAAGGACGACGAGGTAGCCGAATCCGTGCAGCCTGCTCTATGATACACGGTGATTACTTGTGACATAACTTACCATGTGTACTGGATCTGGATTTTGGACTTTCAAGTGGCACTGAATATAAAAACAAGGTTCTCAATCTCCTTCGGGGTTCTTGACCGTCGTACTGTCATCTGTGCAGAAAAGAGCTGGTAAAGCAATTTAAAAAGCTGTCACAATTTGAAGTGCAGATCAAGTCTATTCAAAATCGCACAATGCCGGAACTAATGACAACAATGATGAAAAGCGATACAAAAATGGCCCACATTCCTCACTCAACGAATGCCGCCCGATCCACACCAACGAACAACAATAACTCAGTGCCAATCTGAGCCAATACCCGATATCGCAAACAATACTCAAGAAGTTGCAGCCTTGCACTGAGTATCTTGAGTGTCGCAGTCCCCAACCGTGAACGAAGAATTGCCGTCTGCGTTGGCGGCATCCGCACATTGGTTGTGCTGGATGTCGCAGGAGCGGCCGATCGCGGCGGCCAAGGTCACAAATGGATCTGAGCTCTCAGTGGTAACCTCGAATCCGCTACCATTAGCCACGACAGATGGAGCACTGATACCACCGACTGTTTGATAAGTGAACTAATAAGTGCTGCAGGATTTAGGAAAGAGATAGGCATAGACATACGGGCACCGGTGAAGGTCTGTAGGTTCGTGCCTGAAGCAGTGGTTGTCGCAGTCGCGGCGGCAGATGTCGCTGAAGCTATGACAGTTGCAGCACTGGGAGTAGCATTCACAATTGCGGTTGCGGTTGCGGTGACTGTTACGGTGACTTTGATCACAAAAGCGTTAGATGTACTAAGGCCCTCACTACCAATAAATTCTCACCAAATGCGCTACAAGTCGCCGTTGTGTCGTCTTCCGAGTCGGTTGTGGACGTCGATGTAGCGGTTGTCGTACCAGCCGACGCCGACGCGGTAGCAGTGGATACGGAAATTGCAGCGACAGCAGCGCTGATCTCGGCGGCCGTGGCGTCATCAACAAGGAGGTTCTCTGTGAATATACATCCGGGCTCATCATCTGCGACATCGCAGGTGTTGCCTGCAGCAGTAGGATCTCCAATCTGGCCGGGCGCGAACGTCCCCGACATGAGCGCCAGCGTAGGTTCCCCGCCCACGGATGCGATTTGCTTCGCCAGCTCAAGAGCGATGTTCTTGTTCACCGTCGCAGCGTTTGTAGACGCAGGATCCTATTGCAGTCTATTCAATAGAGTTGACATTTTGCAGAGATGACCCGCGCACCTGATGTTGTGTGATTGCCTGAACTTCCGAGTTTACAGCTGTCTCGTTACAGAGCACGGACGTCTCGCCGACCGCGCCAGTATTGCGCTCAAGGGCCCGGTAGATCAATGCATAGGTCATGCCGGTGATGTTTCCAGCTGTCTTGGCATTGGTGAATGCTTGATCTGCGGTAGCTTGTTGTAGGCAGTCAAGATTCTGTTCTGCGCATTTAGAATCGTGATGAGCCTACTGGAGGAGACTTACTGTAATGCTGCCAGCACCGCCGGCGGCCGCTGCGTCCCCAAGGAGGCCGAACACTGGATCAACGATGTTGTCGGGGTTATTCAGGTCTAACATAGGCCTCACGGATGCCAACACAATATTATGGGAGTGTTCTACAAGTGCCGTATCCAGTTCCATACCAGAATCCGTAGACATTACATACCTTGAGGCACCTCTCGCTTGAACGGCAGAGCCAGCACTGTGCACGCAAGAGCAAGGCCTAGTGCGTGGAGAGACAGCATGGTGTTTAGATGAAAGAATTGTTGTATCAAACAAAATGAATGTTGAAGTCAAAAGAGAATGGAACGGCCGGCGACCTGCGAATCTAGGGACGGTTCAGTATTCCTCGTTGGGAAATGCACAAGAAAATGACCCCCACCGAATAGCCTGAGGCACAACAAACCAGACTGGCTGGCGAGGGAATGAGTGGAGTAGTTCCAGCATGTTCTCTGACTTTATATGCGATTCGGATACTCAGATAGTGACAACAAAGGGGCAGTTCAGTAAGGTTGACCATTCCAGGCTGACCTTCCATCGTTCTATGGTTGCATGGAAACAACATTCGGGTGTTCCGCACAGGTCCGACGTCGGTTGTCGCCTCCGCGGTACACGTACTGCGATTACTTATGCCTGGTGACTTGGACGGAATTCAGCCACCGCATTCGTGCACAAGATCGAGAAGGTTTACCTTTGAGCGCTCGTTCAGGTACCGTATCCAAGGTCATAATTGACCGATTCTGGTTTCATCAGACATCTCATGCACATCAGGTTGCCAAGGTGAGTATATGGGCGCGCTTGCGGCCTTCATAACGCCCAGCTCAATCGAAAAAGGTCGGACTCACAAGTGACAAGTGCTACCTGAAGACGGCAACTGATCAATTGGAGCACATAGCTACAAGCTTCAGCCAAAGAGTAAATGCATAAAAGTTTCCAGATTTATTCCAGATTCTGAATTTGTCCGACGACAATGGCCAGGTACTTATGTGACATGACAACGATCCGTGATCGTACCGCTGTGTGAGCTCCCTATACATAAATACTACACGTATTCTTATCAGATAAGCAGAGCGGACGGGCCGGGCGGAAATGAATGTCCCGCAAGCCCATAGACAAGAGGTTCGAAACTACTCACCTATGTAATCAGAGACAAGCTGGGGTGCTCGTGCTCGATGACAGGATCCGGGAAGAATCAAGACGCCAGTGCCAAGAGCAATCATCGACACGGCGAGGCTACGAGTAGTACCCTCGTCGAGCCCAAGACCAACCGAGAGTCAAATCTTGCCATGCGCTATCTTGGAGGATTTCCAAACAATGTCTTGACGCATGAGGTAACTAAACTATCAGTATTGAGCTAAAGGTCTTGCAAAAAAAACAGCTCGCAAAGTACAATTATTTCTATGATACAATATGGCCATTAGTGTACAAGGATACGCCAGAAATAGTCAAAATCATATAATACACCAAGTAATGTCATCGTCCCGCAACCAAAAGTCTGCGTAAATCTTCGCTCAAAAGTGATGTATGTGTGGTACTGCGGCTGGTAGAAGGCGCATCTTCACGAGAATCGCTAGCGTTGACTCGCCGTCGGATGCCGTCGGAGCTCGCGGCCTTCTTCTCAGCTTCTCGACGGTCCATATCGGCGACACGCTGAGCGAAAGATAAAAACAAGACTTCTGCTTGTGCAAGAGTTGTGTCCAGTTCAATAGTCATGCTGAGTTCATTGCAGTACTACGATATGGAAATTTATCTCAAGACGATGTAGAGTGTTTAAGATTGCGCTCACCTTCAGTATCTCGTCAAACTATTGTCAGATTACACGGCGTGTGAGACTCAAAATGATGATAAAGCCAACGGACACACCTCTACAAGGTATCGCAATATGACATCTCTATGAGACTCGAGCACCGCGAGAGCCACGAAGAGGACAAAGTCGTTGCTGTAGTAGTCGGTCCACAATACCTCCCATAAACGTAAAACATCCTTGAACGGGAATTCACGTTTGAAATGTATAAGTATCCACCTACAACCAAATCAGACATATTAAGACGACGTCACCACCTGCCACGTACCGGAAGCAGAAAAACAGGTTCAAAGACTCCGTTTTCTCTATGATTGCACCGTCAGACCAATGTGAATCGACAATTTTGCCGTCAACAGACCTAAGTGACGGTAGAGTTCCGGATCCATGACAGAGATCAATTGTTGTAATGTCGACAATTGTTTTCGCATTCCACTTTGGTCCCGGAGAAAATTCTGCTTCTGCAAGAGACAAATTAGCCATCCGACCACATCTTGACTGATTGACAATCGTTCCTACCATTCGGGTCATGATCTCGACAAAACACCAGAATGTCATCTCCTCGTCGCCCCCCATGACAACGTATACTGGTGCACACAGATCGGACATGCCTTGTACATAGCCTGTTAAAATGTAAAGATTTATCAGCCAACAAACCAGGGTTCAACAATGAATACAGACCAAGTTCCTTCTCAAACAGATTGTACGTCAAAAGAATGCCTGCCAGTCGTTCGATGTGCTCGTTGGTCGGTGCTTGAGCACCAATGTCGTACATCTGTGGAGAAATCGTCGAATAACGCAGATGCAAGCCCTTCTGATCTTCTGAGACCTCGCCGCTTGGGGTAAGATCTGCAGTAGTATTGGCGAATAAAGGTTGGGTGCGATCTGTGCGTCGACAATCGACATCTATCCGATGGCGTTCCTATTCAGAATTATTGGACGTTCGGCTAATAGGTGAATGGTGGTCAAGGCTAACCTCCAAGATATCGGGCCGGTCAAATACTTCTGGTACACCACACCACTCGTTTTTGAACGAATGATAGCGCTCCCTGCTCGGACAACTTAACCAAAGCATAGGCTATATAGTTGAATGACGCACCGCTTTTCCTGCCACCGCCTCCGTCGCTCGCCATAAGAGACATCCCACTCATAAACTCCGAGTAAGAATGGCCAAATTTCCTTTCTGAGACGACCGTCCGAGCTGATCCCTCTTCTGAATACTTCATGCTTGAACTCCTCCACCCTGATGGTAGGCTGGCCATTGTCATCGAACCAGCTCTCCCACGTTTGTTCGTCCACGGGATGATTTGGATCTCTGGATGTCTTCGGTGTGGGCAGATTTGTAATCGGTTGCAGAAGTTCAAATATACCCAGCTCGGAAGACTCTTCCACCAACTCAGAAGACGGAAGTGTCTGTGTCTCTCGGCGTCGTGCTTTCTCACCTTCTTCTGCAACGATGCGGGCCCATCGCGCTAGGTACACTCGCGCGCTTTCGAACTCACCCACACCGCCCTTTTCCACCCAACTACCCCACTCCCACTCACCATTCGCATTTACCAAGCTCTTTACTGGATCAGGAAGGTGGGGGACGATGGGCTTGGCGAGTGGGTGTGAGAGGATATGCTGCGCTGCATGAGCTGCATGACGAGTTATCTGAGAAAAGGACTGCAGAAGGGCTATCCGTGCTTGGGATGAGTTGTTATGTGTTGATGCAGGTTGTGGAAGCGAGCGATGCAGAATAGAGGCGCGTGTTGAGTATGGACTAGGAGGGGAAGACAGGGGCCGCGGACGACGATGAGCGGGAATAGGTGAATGGGAATTTGCGTAAGAGGACTGGGCGAGAATATCGTCAACGGCCGTATCTGAGAAGATCTGTGTAGAATGAGCTTCAATGTCCTCTCGCGATGGATCTACCAGGTATAGAGATGACTGCAAGTTTGAGCGGAGTATATGAGCATAGAAGCGCAATCTTGCTAGCAAGTCCTCTCCCCCCCAGGAGATACCGCTTCTCAGCGCTGGAGCGGACTGCGAAGGCGGTGGAGGATACGAAGATGTAGAAGGTGAACTGTCCAATGGAGACCTCGCAGACAATGTAAAGGAGCGGGATTCGTCGTCATGGAAGTATAAGGTCGGCAGCGTTGAACCACTAGTCAAATTAATGGCAATCGAACCATCTAGAGTGATATTAAGAATGCGGCTACTCGCGCGCCAAGGCGAATAAACTTACGCCACGAGGATAAAGAAGGAGAATGGACAATCAAGGAATAAATCGAGGTCAGTGGCACAGAAAACGCATATGACTCAGGTCGTTGAACAGGCAAGTCGATCAGTATCGCGTCTGCGTACTTTGTCTTTAGCGTCACTTCTTGTTTAGAACCATGCCAACATACCATCGTCCTCATCATCGGGAGACGCACTCTCTTCAACCTTGGTGAACTTATCCCACTCCGCTTGCCCTTTCTCATTGAGCAAGCTCTCTGGAATCCATGCTACAAGGTAGGTTGGGTTTATGCCCTCCTGAAAAGGTGAAGAGTTACGGACGAATCGCCCCGAGGCGGTGAACCACCAACCCGTTTGACAAGTGTAACAAAACCAGGAATGTTGTCTCTCGCATATGCTGTAGGATTCACATACACTTTAGATTTGCTATATATGAGCCTATATCGGCCCTCTTCGTGCGGATATGACACTCTCGAGGAGTGGAGGTCCTCCGACTCTGGATGTTCGTGCCGTATTTCGACCATAGAATCGACCTGGAAATCAAGCGTCACCTTTAACGTGCAACACCTGAAGCGAACGACTTACAGATATAGTCGAAAGAGTGCCGTCAAGGGGTGGTGGGTGGGGAGATCCGCCCATCAAGACGACCTTCGTGAGCTATATATCCGGGGTGCCCGACCTGCAGCAGTTGCTGCGTACGCAGCAGCTCTGGCCGTCACTAGCTGGTGCACCGGGCTGTAATTGAACGCAAAATATGGCTTCTACCAGTAGACAAACGATTCGATATAATGGCTCGTAGACACAGATTTCGTTTCGGAGAGGTGGAGGCCCTTGCACAACGTCGAACACAGTGGCCGCAGGCGATTTGGGGCCGAGCCGACACAGCCGAGTAGCGCGCGGCGCGTCACCCCACGTGCATATTGTCACGTGGATGGAGGCGCGAGGATGCCATTTTCGGACATGCAAAGCACGGACAAACATGATGAGGCAGAACTGTACAGTTTCTAACCTTAACACGAGAATCAATACTATACGCCCTCGGATAGCTCAAAGCGTGCCGTAGCCTATCATGGAAAACGATCAGGTATGTTGCATCGCTGGGGTCTGTGTAAAAGGCATTTGCTGAGGGATTGCGGTGCACCAGGGTATCCTTGTTGATCTCTATGTCCCCCGCAAGTGCGCGGCGACCAGTGCGTCTCAACCAGTTTACACCTGCTGAAAAGAGCATATCGTGACATCTTCTCTTAGACCGACTCATCACGGCAAAGGACCACGCTTCAGTGCAGATTAGCATTGCCGATGTCGATGCGGACGGTCGGGCTTTGTCTACATCCACCACCTTTGCCCTCTGCGGCCAAGTCCGTGCGATGGGTGAGAGCGATGACTCTCTCAACCGGCTGGCAACCAAGGCAGGGTGTAAGTACACTTTCTCTTATGAGTAATCTGGAGTGATTTTGACGAGTTGTATCCGCCGCACAGTACTCCGGAATGTATGGTCGTACCAAAAGTAATTGTTCATTAGATCCAGGGACTATATCTCTGTGTGCTTAGAGCCGACTGTATTGAGACCGACCGTTCACTGGATCATTTTGCGGGGCATGAAAATGGGCAACAGAAGAACCCTGATGGCTGTGACGACAAGTCTGCTCATCACTCTATCCATTGAGGTTGCCTTCACGCTGCTCTTATACTTGTCTGTCCACATATCGTATCGAATGCAGTTTGATCAGGCCGTGATGCACCGTTTGTGTTTTTTTCAAGAGTAGATGCGATGAGAATAAAGTAAATGAGTAGGGTGCCTGCGGAGATGACATCGGGAAACAGCGCCTGCCGCGGTCGGCAAGGCGGATCGCGGTGGCTGCCAGCAGCGCCCCAGACGCAATAATGGGAACGCTGACAACGGGCCCCGCTACTCCTCCTTTACCTCCATGACTTCCGAGCCCAGTCTGTCAGCGCCGAGACACTCCCAAGATGATGAGTACGGATGCCCGCTCTTGTCGTCAGAATATGCATTGACGCGCTACCCGACCTGGCAGGGCTCGTTCGTTGCGAGCAGGAGAGTTGGATGCGCCTCCCAAGTCTAGCTCATCTCCACTTCTCCCGGACCTGGACCTTCCTCAGTCCAAGCTGGACCTGACCCTGACCTTTGAATCGATCCTGTCAGACCCGACTCCCAGCAGCGAGGATCCCGAGTAAGTGGCCGCCATTCATCGGCAGACGGCGATCGACGCGTCGCATTGTCGCATAACACGGTGTATGGCTGACATTTCTCGGGTGAACAGAATTAAGGCGGTAGAGAAACGGGCGAGCAATGTGTTCAAGCTGACGCAAGAAAACGCGAAGCTGCAGGCCGAGCTGAGGGCGATGACGGAGAGGCTGGAGGCGGCGGAGCGAAAGCAGCGCGAGCTAAGCCAGCGAGGGAGTCGGGAGCGGGGTGCGCCGGCCAACTGAGAGGCCCGGGAATGTTTTTGCATTGGAAACCTGTTATTCATCGCCGCACATATACCCTTCGCCATCGTTGTAGAGTCGTCTCTTTCCCCGCTATAGTCACTTGTTGTATCAAACGCTGGCCTCGCCGTCGACCCGTGTCCACACTGAATGCAGCAAGCGGGGACGGGTGCGGGCTGTAGCAGTCTGAGCTCCACGGGCGGGTGCGCGCAGGCTGGAAGCAGTCGCCATCGCCCCGCATCTTATCTCCATCATCGTCACCCTCGTTCGTCTCCTCTTAAGCTCGCACGCCCTCTCTCTCCGTCTTCCTCTCCACCACATCCTCGTCCATCCTCATCTCTGCGCAACATGGCCAGTCGACGCCCCTCCATCCTCGACTCCCCCGTCCCGGGCACGTTTGCGAGCAGGCGTCCCTCCGTCTTGGACTCGCCCTCCTCGCGCCGTCAGTCGGGCTTCTCCTCCCGCCGCCCCTCGATCGACCCATCGAGGCTGGTGCCAATGGACAAGTTCAGTCTGAGTTCACTTATGTTCTGTCCCGACTTGTTGTGCCGTCTCTTATGGGATCGAGTGTATCCGTTGTGAACATCAATAGCGTCTCTGGCTTATTACACCGTCATACAGTGCGCGCGCACATGCTTGCAGATATCACAACAGCTGGGAAATTGTTCTATCGCTCAGATCTTCGATTCAGACATGGAACCGTGATGGTGTTCTCCGTGAAACCTAGAGATTCCGAGATTCCGTCCTCGATCTTCTCTTTGGCGCACATCTGGTTGTGGCTTAGTGCTTACACCCCAACAGGACGTCCGCCATAAGTGGTCCTAATGATTTTAACGTAGTCTTTGTCGGCGCGGGCAACATCATGTTCGGTATGTCGTTTAGACTCCCGTCCTCTTGTTTTCTTTTTCACAGCACCCTCCGCAGGCTCCGACGAGGGTCCATGGAATCACTCCTTCCGCTTTGAACAGTCAGTCGGCCCAACTGTTTCTGCTTCGCAAAACACTCACGCATGCCTGCTCGCCACAGCAAACTCGGCCCGCGCCTGAAGGTCGTCGCCCTCATCGACCCCGCAATCGACCGGGCAACCGCCGTTTTGCAAAAGAAATGCGAGACCTTCGTGCGCTCCGCCTACGAGAACACGCGCGTCTTCCGCACCCTGGAAGACTTTGTCAAAAACATGTCGCGCAAGGACACGCCTCGCGCCGTCATCGTAGGAAGCCCGCCCATGTTCCGTGGCACAATGCAGTCCGGGCGCGACGTCGAGTTGCAGATCCTCCGTTACTTCCCCGGCGTCGCGATGTTCATCGAGAAGCCCTCGGCGACTGGCCCGTCAAGCGAGATCGAAGAGGCGTTCAAAGTCGCAAAGCACATCACCGATAGTAGTACTATCTGCTCTGTCGGGCAAGCAATATTGTTTACAGGACCTGAGCGAGTGGCTGATTAACAGCGCCACAGATACATGTTGCGATACTTGAAGGCCGTGCAAATGATGAAGCAAATCATCAACGACAACAATCTTACTGTTATGGCCACTGTTGCCCGCTATGCCTGCGCATACGAAGCCATTGCCAAGCCCGATTGGTGGGACAAGTCCAAGAGGTCCGTCTGGTTGATTTTGTGTGCATTCCACTGTCATGGCTCATCCTTCACACCAAGCGCGGGTCCTATCATCGAACAAGGAACACACTTCTGCGATCTTTCTCGCTATTTCGGAGGCGAAGTTGACATGACCACCGTCACCGCACATTCGCTTGAATGGGACGAGAATGCTGGCCATCTCTCAAAGATGGTGGTCGACGAGACCGCCATTCCTCCTGAAAACAGGATTCCGCGTGTAACTGCTGCTACCTGGTTCGTGCATGCTATTGATGAAGCCCAGCCTGTGACCATACCGTCTGATGATGTCGAGCAGGAAGTACGACAGCGGTGCAGTCGGCAGCTTCACTCACCTCGTGGCTCTGCAAGGTCATGACTACAGCTGCGAGCTAGAAGTCTACGCAGATGGATACCAGTTGAAGTGAGTATTTCTCCCATCTTTCTCTTCCTGGTCTAATCAGCTCTTCCCGTAGATTAGTGAATCCCTACGTCCAGCCGGTCCTCTTTGTCCGTAGGCCAGGCAGCGATCATGAAGAGTCTTACCGATTCCCGGACGACGATCCTTTCTTCTCTGAGGTGTGTATGACGGGAACTGACTTCGAGAGATCTTCTAACGTCTGGATCATTAGATATCGGTGCTCATCGACAACATCGAGGACATTGAGGAGGATCCAGAAACTGCGCAGATTCTGAGCTCCTTCGAGGGTAAGTCGATCGTTGTGTACATTGTATGGCGCACATGTCGATGATGTTCTGTTAAGACGCATGCAAGACCTATCAGCTCACCTGGGCCATTCGTGAAGCCACAGAGCGCAACCGCAAACTGAAGTATGATGCTGGCGCGGAGAAGTGAAAGAGAGGTATATAGATACAGGTTACTGATTATGATGCAGGATGCTCGAAATGTAAGCCATTGTAGTTCCGTAGTTGTAGCAATAATGATGGCGTTCAGAAATGAAGACTCGTATGATATCGGTAAATGAGAGTCTGAGAGTGCGCGTGCAAGTCGTGCGAGTGTAGCTGGTCAAGCTGACTTCGCACTAGCTAGATGCGCTAAGGTGATGCGGTATCGCGCTTCTTGGCCACCCTGTTCGTGTCGCCACTCGCGTTCTCTGCATTAACTTCGTCGTCGCGTTTCCTTTTTCTTTCAACTCGTGCCTTTTCTCTCTTCGCTTCGTCGTCCCATTCTGTCTGAAGATGAGCCTTCAGAGTAGGGATGTTCTTTAACTCCTTATAGCAGCGCCAGCAGACAAGGGGTTCTTTCAGCATCGGATCGTACTGGCTTGGCCAAAGCCGCGATATCTGGAGGGTGATCAGGAAATTCTCCTCAAAACGACGTTCCTGCCCCGTCCCTTGCTGCATCTCTCCTTACCACGGCGCCACCGAGGTGAGAGTGCGTGAAAAAGAGAGAACTTACCGTGGAGAAATACGACTCATGCGCGTCAAACCAGTTCAAAACATCCTCGAGAGGGAGGAAGAAGCCGTGTGAGGGATGGAACGAATTGTAATGCTTCTTTTTCTTCATCGCCGGCGAACAAAGGTCGTTGGAGAGGACATGCAGGTGGAGATGTCTGTCCGTGTGTTACTCACGACATGCATGCATGGGCGCAAAGACACGCACTCCATTGAAGGGATAGCATGGAACCCCGTCCAGATACCCCATTTGAATCCATACCGCTTCACCATCTCGTCTTCGATCATTGCGCGTACTCCCTGTGCATCGCGGTTCAGCTTCTCGAGGACCTTTCGCGCCAAGTTCTTGTCACATTTGAGGAGGCTGCGCAAGTTGCTGAGGTTAGAGGCGGTCAGCGGGGGCACAATGCGCGGGAGGACTAAGAAATGGAAGATGGACTTGGGATAGGCGTCGAAGACGGTGAGCGTATCTGTTGTATGTGTCAGACGAATAGAAAGAGGGAGCGTATTTGGGTCGCTTTTCTGGGCATAGCCTCGCAAAACCGTCAAGGCGGACATGAGCTGGTAGACAGTCACGGTGAAAGGATTAATTGGGCGAAGCGCGCGCTGGGTGTTGAAACGCGGTCACGTGATCGCATATAGCAGTACGTCAGCAACTCCATTCCTGGTAGTGGACCTCCATCGCCACTCTAAGCAATCCAGTGACGCAAAAGGTACAGTACCTTTTGACTGTTTACGAAACGAGAAAAGCATAACGCAAAATCCTCCAGCAGATCGTGCCGTTATTGATAAGTTTGCCCCCAGTACTCGTGTAACTCTTGAGAGGTAAATCGACTCATGAGTGCTGAGCCAGAGCGCGAGTCGGATCAAGCACATAGAATTTGCATATAGAATGCCGTTCATTCTTACATGTTGCTGCGAGCACAAGGCCGCGTCTGTACTGTCAGGCTCCAGTGAGTCGGAGCATTTCAAGCCATAACCATTACGTGCAAAAGGCCCTGCACCCGCAGAGGTGCTTCTCCACGTAATTGACTCGCAATCGCGTAAAGTTAGCTCCCCCTCAAAAACACCAGGCACCAAATCGCAGCCAATCGGTCTCACTAGCTTATGCAACACAGGACGACGATCCGTCATATGCTATAGCTGCTCGCACCCCGTACCTAACCCGCGCAGTCACGTCTCTAGCTTCTACACGGGAGGAGTCTCCTAAAAATATTTGCGATACCAGTGGAGTCATCAACCCCAAGACGAGGATTTTAGTAGAATAACGACGATCCTTGGCTATATACGTATACGTTTCTGGGTAGAGAAGAAATTGGCTACATGGTCAAGATTATTACTACTACGACAGCAAAGACATCAGGAAAGCTTCTGTCCGTAAGCGCGAGACGATAGAGTATTCCAAAGCGCAGCAGACGAGCACAAGACCATTGGAGAAAGCGTCGCCCCTGGACGCATTACAAACTATGTCAGTGTTAAATGTACATATTGGGTACAGAGAGAAACATGAGCAGAAGTGAATAACCTAAAGCAGGAACACAAAACGAACTGACGAGATGGGAGGGTATCCAGCCAACGGCTCAATCTATGTTACCTCGAGCACAGAGGTCTCCAACACTCGGAACTGTGTGTGGTCCTTGGATAGTTCAGACCAGCCGACGACCTCGCGCCAGTTCACGGAGTTTGCCTCCTTCTCCCCAGCGCCCGCAAATAGGCCGAGGTCATCTTCCGAGATTCCGCGATACATTAGGAACAGGCGAGTGAAGATACAGTTCTCAACGGTAACCGAGATGTCGATAGCGGCCGCGATCTTGCCAGGGGACATGAAGCGATAAGCGATATTGCGATGTGCAGCGAAAGATGACAGATTGTTACTGCGGTAATCGGAAGAAGGCGAATGTTAGCTGAGAAGGCGCGTAGAGCGATAAATCGTACTTAATAAAATTAGTGCGAGCTTGGAGTGACATCCCAAGCTGGTCTAGTACACCCATCAGATGTGGCACAAAATCCCTGAACGACATCGCAAATCCATTTCTAGGCGCAATGAACTCGGTCGGATCAACCATCCCAGGTTCAGGTCTACATAGCTATCATTGAGTCCACCCGAGCAGTCGAACATAGCCGGAACTTACGTCGCCTCATAATACAACGCTGTGGCGTTCATTTCCGTTTCGAAGTGTTCAAGTGCACCACCAGGATGCACGCGCAGGAAATACTTCACTTTGTTTTCCCCAAGGGGTTCCGCCGGAGGCCATGTTATACCAAGCTTCCAGAATGGGGAAAATGACAAGGTAACATCACAATATTGCTGAGCAGGTGCGAGAATATGCAGATGGCACTTCGCAGTGGCAGGTTTTGCTGCGACGGCCAGCTTTCCGAGAACACGAGAATCGACCATTAAATCTTGAGTGACTTCCTGGGTGTTGGATAAACGTGTCCCACTGAAATCCATCTTGTGTGTATCGCCGTCATGCACAATGTCAAGTTTTCCCCAGAAGGACCCATCTACAGTTGTGCCGTCCTCCATCCGTGCCATATCTAGTTCGTCCGACGAGACCAAAGTATCCAGCGCCACGTGCTGTCCCGGAGCCATTTCCAGACTGAACGTTGCGGGCATCTCTAGAACAGGTGGAGGGCTATGAAATTGTCAGACCAGAGCACGATATCGAGGTGTGCTCATAACCTACGGAGGCGGTCTACGATAAGTGTGAAGCCATGAGCACGTGCAGGTATGGACTTGATATAAGAACTCACGGAGGTTCATCCTCAGGCGGCGGGGGACCATCGCTGACAATCTCTACTCTGAGGCCTTGCACTCCCATGGTTGCAATCTGGTACGAGTCCTCACCGGTCAACTGCAAATTGTCGAGCGATGAGTGATAATGTAGGTAGCGTGCCACATTAGTGCATCTCACATAAATATACGGCCCTGCAACCAATCGCTGTTCACTGCTGTAAGTTCACATATGACAATCAAATATTGAAAACACCAACCGCTGCATGTAGTGACGCATATTCGACTGGGACGCGCAAGCTGAAGATAGCATCTGGTGGGGGCTTGATCCAGTCGCGCGCCTGCGCATCCAGCTCCTGCAGGAGTGTTCAATGCCGAATTGAGATTTGCGATATCAGCACAGCACTTACAATGTAGGTGTTTGGCAGCTAAAATACATCGGTCAGTACCAGTGTCATTAGCGTGGCCCTGGAAAGCGGCTACTGACCATTCGGATCGTTTCCATATCACCGAAAGCAAGTGTCAGAAGACGTTGCCTTGTAAGGGCCATCGGAGCGGGCTGTTTGTTGGGAAGCTCTACATCCTTGTTGCTCCTTGGAGTCTTAAATCTGTTCCAGAAACTGGCCGTCGATGGTAAACTTGCGTTTGATGCGCTGCGTGCATACGCAGTGGCTCAGGTGAGGAGGTGGCGTGTGATAGAAACGCAGGTACGTACGCAGGAGAAAGAAGCATTGCAGCCGCGATTCGGACAGAGAAGGAAAAGGATGCAAACGTGAGGGAGAGATAGAGGGATATGAAGGAGATGAAAGCGGTGAAGAGCGCGTGCACGGGTACCCTTGAAAAGGATCAGTGGTAAGAAACACGAGGCGCGACTGAACACGAGGCGAACCAAATAGCTATACAGGACCGTGTATGCACGAGTGACTCGACTTATCAGCGATATACTGCTACACTGATGCAGATAGAGCGGGCTTGCGCAAGCCCTAGACCCTGCTCGTTGTCGATGTCGATGAGGACGAGAACAATCAAAGGCTGGCGAATGAAGCCGACGATGAGCGCGCGGTCGAAATGAATGCGATCTCGACATCGCAGGGCATCACGTGCGCCCAGTCGTTCTCGCGCCAGGACACGCCGGAACGCCCCTCAGGCTCTAGTCTCTTGCCATCCCTCAAAATGTTGCGGACTGTTGCACGCGCACAGCTCAGGCCATCAACGAAATTCCAGTCCCGCAGCTTCGTCTCCACTGTCCTCCTGACCAAGGCATGGGAAACCGAATCCGTCAGCGAGCTCAGGAAGGAGGCGAAGAGCAGAGGCTTGTCCCAGTATGTATAGTGTGACTTACCTCGGAAGACATCCTCATATTGCTTCCAGACAGGGAAACAAGGCTACTCTCATCACCCGGCTGCGAAAAGATGACGAGCAGAAGGCAATCTCACCAGCACCCCCAGTTTCCCCGCAAGTGCGTCATGCGTCCACGACAGAGGTCCCTGGCATCCCGACCACCGAGGTCCCTCCCCCACTTCCGAAAACATACCCGAAAGAATTTCTCGATGTGAAGATGCCAACGGCTTCGGAGCCGGATCAGGAGCCACGAATTCAAATCGTGAGTGTGGGGTCCGTCTGCTGGCTGTTTGATGAGATTGAACGCACCGCGCTCGCACAAGCCATTTTTACCAGACCTCTGGGATTCATCACGAATCAAAGCCGAGTCCATTCCCACCTCGGCTCAACCTGACAATTCCACGCCTAAGATGGTCGCGGTGGCAGGTTCGGCCACGCATCACGGTGGTGGTCCCACGTACAGCCTTTCCAACTTTGAATCAGAGGACTCAACTACCACGAACGCATCTGAGGCCGGTCCTTCTGGATTCTGGAGGGATCTCGCGGAAGACCTCAATATCCCTACGTCACTGAAGCTACCTAGTGCAGCACAGGTCCAAGCAAAATTTGACGCCGCGGAAAAGACGGAATCTCTGTCGGGACAGAAGACATATTCGCGGACGCTAGACGGAGACGAAGTCAGAGGCTTGTGGGCACTGTTCGGGCTGTTCGCCGGCTCATGGCTAGCCGCGGGATACTTCAAGACGCCGTCTGCATTCGCGGAAAAGGTGGAAGAGGCAGCGGAGAAGGCAGAGAATGCAGCGGGAAAGCACTGACTGGTCTTCAACTAGACTTCCGCAATATGCGACATGTCGCCCCTACTTAGCGTACTGCGACTGTTGCTTATTTCTTTACTGCTTCGGTAGTATCACATGACCGTCTCTTTCTTTAGTACCCTGTACCTTGACGGTCATGACAGCGCGAGCAATTCCTCATATACGGCGTATTCACGCCTCTGCTATTCGTTTTCATCTTGTGGGACCGCCAGATACTGTATCCAATATTCGTCCTGTTGTCTATGACGATGACCTCCCCAACCAACGTGCCGATTTGACTCACCCGTACTCCCTCAGGGAGTTCAAGGGAGACACGCGCGAATACCAATGGAAGATGCAGCGACAACAGCTGGATGCATACAATCATACTTTTTGGTCTAATGTGAGTCAATCGTGCACTACCCGTACCTCGTTTGGTAACGTGCGAGGCATAGAGCAACTCGCGTTTTGAGGCAGCTAAGAATGCCTTGCTCGAGAGCTTGCCCGATTCGTGCACGGAGGAAGACCGTGAATTTGCACTGTCCGAATTCTACAGACGTTGGATAGTACAGGAGACGGCGCGACAGCAGGAGTACGATGCAGAGTGGAGGAAGCAAAACTGGTCAAGCTTGCTGCTTGCCATACGCCTGTCTTACGAAAAGAGCATGGCGCGGATATCCCGCTTATTTTCGTCAAGCTAAAACGTATGACAATGTGATGTTACATTCATATACCCACTCCTGGACGATTGCATAATTCCTTCACCAAAGTGTCACGTCGCATCTTCCTTAACCAACCCCACCATGCTCTCAAAAGTACTGTCCATCTCCAAATCGGCCAGATATTTACTCTCCAACAAATAATCCTGTTCGATCCCTTCCACCTCATCAGGCGAAATCCCTGGCCATCGCAGAGCAATTTCGGATTGATCTGGGACCTCCAATGCTTCCACGGGCGTCGAGATGTAGCCTTTCGGTGTACTGTGTGCTCTCGAAGTTGCCTGCAGGGCTGCATACAAAGCAGTATTTCTGAACCGCATATTCAGCTCTGCGTCAGGAACATTGGCCGTCTGCCGTAACACATTCCAACTTTCAAGAATTGAAATGAGCGAATAAGGACTCGCTGAACACAATTAGTGACGCACTCATCGTGGATGTATATTCGTCGCCATACAGTTCTAAACGCAGACAGTCGCCGAGCGCTAGGTATATTCTGAGTTCATATTAGGATTGGGCCGCCATTGAAGAATGTGATCACTACCCACCCTCGCTCGCGAAAGTATCTGGAGCGCTGTAGCATAGTCTCCTGGACTGTCAGCATTATCTTTGAGGCTTAGAACATCTGCTAGATCCTCAGGAGATAGGGCCTTTCCCTGCAGTAATTGTCGGACGAGTTGCTTGAATATCTAAGACCTGAAGTTGAAATCACTATGAAATACATATTATTGAAACAGATACCTGTTGCAGTATCCTTCGATCAGATAGCTGGGACGCCTTCGCCCTTGCGATCACGTCGACTTGCGCCTCCAGTGATTGCTTTCCGCGGACATTAACAAGAGCTGACTTCAAGTCGTCTAAAATCGTCTCATGCACGCTCACGAAATCCAGTCCATCATGAAAAGCTATAAACATGCCGATTGTTAAAGTGCTCAATATGTAATGAACAAGGAGACGTACAGTCTAAAGTCTTTTGACTGATTGGATTCTGAACCTCCTGCACCTCATGCAGTTGTGCCAAGTGCGCAAGCTTGCCAATACTGAGCATAAGCTAATTTTACCCCGGGCCAAGACATTAATGCACAGTACACTATAATAAAAACGAAATCACATACGTGTTTCGATACCAATTCCGAAGCATGATCAGCTTCTGAGAGTAGAGCTTCAGATGCAAGTTCATATCGGCCCTTGTAAACATCGTGAATCCACGACACAGCCGGAATCGAGTTGTCAGAGAGAAACGCGTCCAGAAACTCGTCGTGTCCAGCAGCGAACATGGCTCTGAGCTCGCCTGTATGAATACTAAACTGAGTCCCACAAGGAGTGTCCCAAGCACCATAACTTACCGTGCTCGATATACCAGTGGTACAGCTCTGTAGTAAACTCCTCTTTGAATTGCTCAACGTAAGCTTGGATCCGTGTAGCATTCGGATTATCCTCTGGAGGGTAAACGGTCTCCTTGTTACACAAGGAAGCCAGGCTGCGGAAGTCGCGATATTCTTCAGCGAGTCTAAAGGCCGCATTTGCGTGTCCATTTCTTCCTGCATAGTTCGTCAATCTCATTGGAATGACCATAACTAGTTACGTCAAGCATACGCAGTGTCTCCAACACTTCAGGCCGCACTTGGTGAAATTTTTGTGCAAGATCGTATCGTTCTCGCTCCGATCTAGGGTCGCTTGCTGAGAGGGGACTGGAAGGCAGGTCAGTGAGCACTAGATACGTTCAATATCATTGAGAAGCAGACCTTTCAAGCCACCGCAATCGTTCTTGAATGCAGGTGAATAGTGTCGAAGCTAATTCGGGGAGCTGTTCTCTTAATTGAACCCTGGTTTGAGTAGACTCGGCATCTGGACTCGGAGTTTCTACCACCTTGGTTGTGGCAATAACTAGCTCGAATACAACTTCAATAATGTTTGGCTGGCTTGACCAAGGATCCAACAATGGAAGTTCAATCCCATACACTCCTGAGTTGTAGATGCGATAGCTGATTGCTGACTGAAGTATCGTCTATTAGAGGCGTAAGTTGTTTCAGTCTGGATTACGATCCAAAAACTACGTTACCAAGACAATCCGGTTGCTTTCGCATATATCCTCGGAGAGATTTTGGCTGTGCGCATGCAGTGATCGCCGAACCACATCCAACACGCAGGGGATGAGGCCACCTATAGCCTCCACTCCACTTTTGAGGAACGATCGAACACAATCTTCCTGATCATGCTGACTATCAGCATCTATATAAGCATCAATCGCTTCGTACAACACGCTCCCTGTGCGACTGGAACTGTGACTATCATTTGATTAATGTGCAATGTAGATGGGAAACTGGAGGAACAATCACGAACCCGAGAAAATCTTCATGTCGCAACCAAAGCTGATGAGCTGCGTACAGCTTCTCTGCGTCTGTAGCGAGCAACTGCCGGCTCCTTTGGGACATCTGGATTAAGCGTATCAGATATACATATTCTGCATCGCCGGTGATGTACTCGCTTTGGTTAAGACAGCGTTATCGTTGATGAATTTAATGAGGAAGCTAAGTCGTTCCTTTCGTCCAGATATCTGGGCTTGAAGGTCATGGCTGGGACGTACTACTTCTGAATCTGCACAGCGAGGCAATTGTATAAAAACGGAACCCCAAAAAAGTAACCAGAGTCTTACCTGAACGTAGTATTGCCTGACTGAGTTGTTGAGCTCCAGACATAAGTGCTTCTTCGTCGATTTCGGGAGGGAAGCTAAATTGTAGTGGGTTCTAGTACGCCCATCAGCTCCTCATAAAGATGAAGCATCAGCAGGAGCACTACCTCCGGGTTTGAACCATATAGAATTGCCTGTGTCATAATGGAGACCATCAAAGTCGCCCGACCACTCCTGATTAAAGATGGAACCTTTAGGACACGGGAGAATACAAAATGTCGGGAAACGCACTCAGAATTGAATTGGGATACTCGATCCAACTCAAAATAAGCTTTTACCATCGTAGTGGCCGTCAAAACTAGCAGCTCGCTCTCGCCATCAACGACACCGACACCGAGAGTACGGTCTGTCGCAGATTTGAGTTCAAGGCGATCCATGTACACTGTATCTGCAGAGAAATTCAAAATTCGTTTTGAGCTATGGACAAGTGACCAACTCACCTCGCGCACAGAGGGCAACGGCGTCCCCGAATTGAATAACAATCAGTTCGCCATTCATGACCAGTTGTAACCTAGGATGCAGCGGGGCGCCCGAACTAGACGTCTATCTCGAAGCAGAGGTCACAACAAACAAAATCTATACCTAGGGTACTTCACTTACGCTTTGATAGGGCACTCCTCTGACATTCAACACTTCAAAGGTATCGGGCGTGCATAACAAGTGAGCAATTGCATAGATTCGTCGAGGATGTGGACCAAAGTCCATACTCGCCTCTTCGTCCTGGCCAGCGTATGATACCAGGAGAACAAGTTTTCCATCGCTGTAAAACCAGTTATTATTTGTTTTTTAATCCGATAAATTGCACTGGCGTCACTGACCCTTCGACCTTGAGATCTACAAATTCGAGGTCAAGCTCTATATCGTCGGGGGACGCGGAGGCGAACGCGTTTCGGATGGCCTGCCGAGTATCATCCATAATATCGGTATCTACAACTAGTTCTTGCCACCCTTCAAATGAAAGATTCCACTTCTGTATTCTTCTATTTATGATGGCCCACAATGCTCTGCCCTGCGAGTCGGTGCCTGGTTCAGCAAGAGCGATCGCGTTGATGTTTCCTGGTTCCGGCTGAATGCTGGGAACGGACCAAAAAGAAGGTATAAGGCGTGAAATTGACATGGAAGCCCGAGGATGGCTGAAGACATGAGCGGTTAAGTGATGGCTGCCCCCAGATGCAGTGAGTATCAGGCGGAATAAGCGGCCCATGGACGTTGATACTATATAGGTTTGTGGCTGCAAGAGGGGCTACGTTAGTATACAAGGCCAACTAGCACCTTCCAAACGCACGTCAGCTCTCGTCAAAGTTGTAACTCGCTCTTCACGCTCTAAATCAAGAGACATGACTAAGAAATTGTCGCCGCCCGCGAGACCCATCCCAAGCCCATCCCAGAAGCGAACTTCACCGGTCGGAGAACTGACTATTAGCCCAGGCTCCCTAGATGACCCATAAGGAACGAGTGCGTGAAATGGCGTGGCCATCGGGTCGTTAATATCGCTTACAGGGCAGAGGAAGATGTAGCAAGTCGGGGTACCCGTCAGTGCCTGAGGGACATGTCAGCACCACATCTTGCTGTGAATAGCCAGAACGTTTTCTTGCCTGAGCATACTTCCAGACGAAGCACGTCTCGACTGAAGCCACAATTGCAAACCCAGTCAAAGGGTCAACGTCTCCACTGAAAGCATCGCGGTAAAAATCTAAAACAAACAACACATGACCAGTCAAATATAATTGCAAAGCAGATTATGGGGTGTGCAAACCTGCTGCCTTCAGCGCCTGCCTTACTTCAACTGGCAACTGGGCGTAGAAGGTGGCAGTGAGCTGCTCAGATTTTGCAAAGATAGTCTCTGCTTTTGTATGGCGCTCCTGAGTATCAGGGTTCCCGTCCAGATCCATCCCAGAAATTTGAGAGCTATCATCCTTCACGGACGGTAGTCTCTCTCGGTGCCGTGTTGCGAGGGGAGTAGCAAATCGGGTGGAGACCTGGCTGGTACTTGGTCTTGGACGTCTTCCGATAGGAGATGTTTGTGCGCCAAAGCCAGAGCGCGTTGTACGGCGGGGGGCAGGGGAGGGTGAAAACGTCGCCATCGCGTTAATATACAAGGTGCGAGTCGCGTCCTCGACGCGTCTGTATTCGCGTGTGGCGTCAAAAACACTGACAAACACTTGCCCTTCCAGATACCGTCATGTTTGGGATCGAGGACTACGGCAGCGACAATGACAGCGACGTGGAAACTCGGCCGACACCCTCAACATCCAAGCATATTTTATCTCCAAAGTCGTCTTCACTCCATCTCCCGCCACCAACCAGCACGAATTCAAAATCTGCTGGCGGACTGTCTCTACCTCCTCCCAGGGCTAAGCGTCCCAAGAAGATCACCATAGGCTTACCAGATCTCTCCCCTGAGGACGGCCAGACTAATGGAGATAAGAGTCCCCCTGCTAAGAAGCCACGTCTACAGTCTGGCGCACGTTCTTCGGCCCTGCTTTCTATGCTTCCGGCCCCAAAGAACAAGGCAGTCCCAGTCGTTATACCAGAGAGAGTACTTGGCGGTGGTCGCGGACCTGGCCTCGTTTTCAATACTGCATCGGGTAGGTCTACGCGATCAACGACTGTTGAAGACGCGGAAGATGATGGGGAGGAACAGGCGGGTGTAGCCTTAGATAACTCCAAGCCATCCATTTCCTTCCTACCGCCCTCTTTGGCGAAAGGAAAAGCGAATGTATCCGTGGAAGAACAGAATGAGCGGCCTACCCGTATCATACCTAGTGCGACACCGGCCCTAGATTTCTTCTCGTTAGGTAGGCCGTGAGCTGTCCTTTTTCTTCGCACCTAATTTCGATGTAGGTTCTTCCAGCTCAGCGACCGTCTTGCCCTCGGCTGGCACACCAGCTACTTCCCTGCAGGTGCGACTTCCGGCGCCTCCGGTTGCGTCCTCGTCTGCATCTACAACGACTGTCCTTCCGGGGATATCGTCAGCTCCGAAGGTAGACGACTTTGTACCCCCCGACCCAACTCCACAAGACCCGTATCCGGGCTACTATCTTCTGCCCTCAGGCAGCTGGGCTGCATACGATCCCGAATACTACCACAAGTTTTACGACAAATGGAAACGCGAGTATGATGCGCATGTGCGCGCACTGGAAAAGGGTACCGCCAAGGGCTTCGAGGCGGTGGACACGGAGGGCGCGCAGGAATTCAATGCTCTCAGAGAGATGGAGAAAGCAAAGATAGAAATTCAGGAGAGGGAAGAGAGGAAGGCATTAACCACTGCCGGTGCGGACGTATCCGCCGCGCCGAAGATGAACGTCAAGGTTTGTTCTATCTCTTACGACAATAGTATGTTGCTTACATCCTGATTTCAGGGAGCAGCATTAGGTGGCCGAGCCCGGACACGGCATCAGCTTGCCACTTTACTCACAGAAGCCTATCAGAATCGAGAGTCGCTGGAGGAAAAGATTGCTCAGGGTCGGAGGAATAGAAAGGAAGCGGGTAATAAATATGGTGAGGCTCGCATGTTCACCTGCGTAGCTATTTTCTTACGCAAGTCATAGGCTTCTAAACCTCCCTGGAGGCCTCAGTCTTACATGTTATTGCATCCATTAGCGATTAAAACATAGTAACAACATCAACTCCAGGGTCAGCCAAATCCGTAACATTAGATCACTGAGTAACGATACAGACAAACTACATGTACACATAAAAAGATAATCTACTTCTGCGACGATGAAAATTCTAAGACCAGAGCAATGAGTGCGCGGATATGCTTCCGTGGCGGTTTTACTCACTGGTAACAGACTTCGTGCCCTCCGATATGGCATGCTTAGCAAGTTCACCGGGCAGAATGAGGCGCACGCTGGTCTGAATTTCCCTTGACGAGATGGTCGACTTCTTCGAGTACGACGCAAGTTCTATGTCCACAGCCTGAGAAATGATTCAACGACACATGATGCACTTCACTCACTTGAAGCTTCGGTGGCTATCCGCTCGAAAATATCGTTGACAAAGGAATTGAGGATTGCCATAGCTTTGTTGGATATACCCGTATCAGGATGCACTTGCTTGAGCACTTTGAAAAATTGTCAGTTCGAAACACCAGTCAAGCAGAATCCATACTGAAGCGTACCCTTATAGATATATGAACTGTAGGTCTCCTTACGCGCCTTTCGTCGCTTCTTCTTCTCCCCCTCAGGACCTGCAGGCTTTGCAGAAGTCTTCTTGGCTGCCTTGGATGTCTCAGACTTGGCAGGAGCTTTGGATGCGGTGGAGGCAGGTGCCTTGGATGCGGTGGAAGCAGGCTGCAAAGTGTGTTAATTTGTGACAAGTCATGATCCGACTATTGAATTACCTTAGGTGCCATGAGCTAAATGAATTTAGACTACAAACCATTAAACAACATTCAACCACGAATAACAGCGTCAACACACCTTGGAAATGGGAGCGAGGGATGGTGCAAGTAAGGGACAAAGGGTGAGCAGGGTGCCTCCCCGCGTTGATGATGCCTTTTAAACGCGGTGAGCAGATGATCACGTGAACGCGTTCAACAAGAGATACGCGACAACGTGATCGCGACATGCCACAAGCGCGAGTCACCACAAGTTAAGCTTCAAGCGCCTAACGTAGAACGCTGAGCTCTGGTCATGACTAGCACGAAGAGGAGTAGGTTGAATTGGGACTGTATTCACCAAAATTTAAAAAGGTACGCATTTTACAGGGATATACGGCCAATCATTGCCACAACTTTTGTTTCGGCATCCTCAACCCATACGTGAGCTTCTTTCTCGCTAGCTCCTCGCGCACAGTATACGGATACTGTTCGATTCACCACCAGCGGATTAATTGCGCGATACTCAAATGATTTGACCGCAATATCAAAAGATTGTGTCGCATAGGTGTCTAGAAGCATGAGCGCGGTCAATGGTCCATGAACAAGCCTCTCTAAGGGTGGTGAGTAAACCGCGCTGTACTACAGCACTCGGGGCACTAACCGGCATATCCCTCAGACCTCTGCGCATAGTCCTTGTCAAGATGAATATAATGACCGTTGAAAGTCAGTGCGGAAAAGCGGAACAATGTGGTAGGACTGGGAGTGTATTTCAAGCAGAACTTTGGAGAAGCAGGCAGGTCCTTGACTAGAAATGCGACTCAGCAAAACCTATACTAGGTCATCAAAGCATACTCACCTATCCTGGCCTCCCTCCTGTTTCCGGGGGACGCGAGATATACATGAGACCGCTCTTCCTCTATAGCAACCTCATCACTACCCTCCTTCCGGTACTCTATCTTCTGCTTGACAAAGACCATCGGCGAGCCCTTTTCAAACCCCTTTTTCTCTACGGAGCTGACTCTGGCAGTCGCAACAGCTTTCTCACCAATCAACAGAGGATGCCTCCAAACGATCCTACCACCCGCGCACATGCGCCGTGTCCACGGTTCAGGGGGACAAAAGTCCGTATCGGTACCATCAGAGCGCAGAGCATGTTCCGGATTGCGAGGGTGAAAAAAGACGAGATGGTGCCCGTATCCTAGTGGCGTCTGCTCTGTGGGTGGTTGAAAGGGCGCTATAGTACCGTCGCGGGTAGGCAACGTAACGTACAAATCAGACAAATGCTCTGGTCGCAGCGTATCGGTGAGCGTGAGGATCTTTTCATGACGAATCCATGCGTCGAGCGCAGCCAAATTTGCAACCGAGACTGGTGTGCTATAGGAGCGGATTAGTCCCCCTGGGACGAGTACACGCATCCGGCAGGCAGTTGTGAGAAGTGGCATTCTAGATGGATGCGCACAATAGAAATCAAATATCGGACCTGCGTGGAGGGTACCGCCACATACCGTTACCGGAGAGCGCTCACAGATTGGACTGACAGTTGTTGCGCAGAAGTACCACCATTGGTGACGCGAGTCAGACGTCGAGGGAAGAGAATTTTATAACCAAGGTCAGTACGTGCTGTACAGTCAAGCTCGGTGATTTGAAAGCATGGAGAGCCCGGGTCACCCACATCGGCCGATGGACAGTCGGACTGCTTGCTATATGCACAAGACAGGCGTAGGTATATTTATAGCTCGTAATGGCGACGCATACGTCCCCGCTGCTGCCGGCGGTGACCTTGACAAGGCAGGCTTAAGAATGACGAGCGACGGGTGAGGAGAGTGAAACCCGGAGGCGAGCAATGGCCCATCGGCGGGGAGACGCGTGACGGAGTGTGACGAGGCGTGAGTATGCGCCCGCATGCCGCGGTATGCCATGGCTCCTCAGAGCAGCTCCTCTCTTCTCCAGCGGCGCCATCGTCGTCAGCTTATAACTCGCGTCCGCAACGCCAGCGCTGCCACGTCCTTCTTTCTCTTTCTCCTCGCAGCCGCTATATAATTGTTCGCTCTGCCTCGCCCATTGTGCGCTGTTCCAGCGTGTCCATCAATTTCTATTCTTGCGGGTTTTAGCGGTCGCCGCCAGAATCCATCCTGGGCAAGATTGCTCCGCCTCTCCGGCGCGCTTTCCCTTCCTACCTTTTAGGACCGCTCTCCCCATCTGCTCCCGCCTAAATTCCTCACTTGTCCCCATTGTTCCTCCACCCGGCCTCCAGTAATCTAGCTGGACAATGACCAATCTTTAATCCTCATTTCTCTCATAAAGCTCGGACACGATCTCACTTTGTGTATCATTATCTCCTCGACAACTCGCCTCCCCGCTGTAGCAATCGCCGCCAACCACCTCGCAGCCGACATGGCTGCCATTGTATCCCCACGCCCTCGCCTCGCTCGTCCTCCGCGCTCCATCATGGAGCCCCCACATATACAAGAGAAGGCCGTGAGTCTAGTTCTGCATGCATGATCTTTCTGGGGCTCATGTCCATTCGTTTAGCACGTCGGTCCGCATAGGCGGGCGCCCCGCAGCCCTCCGAGGCTTGGATCCCCTATTGATCTCTTCGATCCTCGTGCCTACAAGTCCAATGTCAGTATATGCGTCTTTAGTACTTCGTGTATGCTTACCCTCACCGCAGATCTCCAAGTCATCGACGCCGTGTAGCCCCATGAAGAGACGCAGAGGCCTTACATTCAACCCAGTCCGCTCGCCGCGACGGCGGCATTGTATGCGCACCGAATGCCCTCTTTCTCCGTTGGGTGGACCTGCATTGTTCGACCGCCTGCCGTGGATCTCGCAGTTAGAGAATTCACCAGATTCTGTTTCTGCATTCGATATTGCAGACTTATCGGTCCTGGCAGAGGAGCTATCTCGTCCGCAATCGCCTCGTACAGGTCCCGTTCGTCATCGCAAGTCATCGCGGTTTAATCAACTCCCATCTATCGACGATTTCGATTATTTCCCTCCACATCTCCACGAACTTCCGGTGTATGCACTACTCCCGCCGGACCGATATCCGCCTACTCCGCGGACGCCACCACCCAGGGAAACATTCCTGCCTTCTGATATCCATTTTCAAGGACTTCGTCCGGCCTTCCCACCGGGATTCGATGACTCATGTTAATTGCCTCGTATGCATTGGCCATTTACATCTCCTTCTCACCTCATCCACTCCAGCCGCTCAGTGCTGTCGATATTCCATGTGGCATGGACAGAGTCTCCTGAAATTCCTCGTCTGCTTCTATTTGGCCTTTCGGATCTCGCCTTATTTGCTAATTATCTGGCCCACGGGCTGATATTACAAGCTCGCCACACGTCCTCAACGCATCCGACGAATCTATCTTATTTCTATTCCAGCACTGCTGTCTCGTACCACGCTTGTACTCTGATTCAAAACCATCACGACTCACGATCTCACACCTGATTTAATCCCTTGGCTTGTTCAATTTCCTCCTTCGCCAGCCAACCTCTTCGCTTCGATACGTGCTGCGGCTGCACCATTGATTTTTGCAGCACTTGATTTATATTCTTTGATTTTGTCATTCGCTCCGAATTGGGTCAGTCATTCATGTGTACCACACGAATTTGTTCAAGGCTACGCGTTACATGATTGTCGATTCGATTCCGCCCCTTTTTCTTCATCTATCCTCTGACCCACTATATATTCTGAAGACTGTGTTTCCCCTGCTATGCGATGTATATCAGATGTCATACGTACGTTATCGCTGCTCCCTGTTCGTACCTGCACACGTTTTCGTTGATGCTGTTCCCTTTCTACTCATGCCGCTACGGACATATTCCGACTTCTCTATTCTCGTATAATATTCTATATCGCGGTGGTTGGCAGTTCTCTGCTCGTACCTCTGTCCAGTGCTGTCGACGCTGTCTGTAGATGTACTAGTACTGTACGCAAATCACGAACTGGTTTCTGATCACGATCGATTTGTCTGGATGCGTTCGCTACGCTGCCGTCCAAGGGGCTGGATGTCTGATCTTACATTGCACACTGGTCGAGTCATGACTAGACTGTTCTGCTCTTCGATCGAGCGTTCACCCGGTGCTCTCGACTACTTACTGACTTGCACCCAGGTCACCGCTCCACGGTCATTCCAGCTTAAAAGAGCAACGTTTATCGACGGTCTATTATCGCTCAGTGTTCCCCTCTGTTGCTGGTCTTGCCCCCACAATGGCTACTGATCATGCACGAATCGCCAATTTCGGCGCGGGCCCCTCGGCACTCCCAGTCTCTGTTCTTGAGGAAGCGACGAAGGGTCTTATGAACTTTCAGCAGACGGGAGTCGGAATTGCTGAGATATCACATCGCTCGAAGGAGTTCCAGGCGTTCCTCGGGAACCTCGAGTCTCTCATACGCACACAACTCGATGTCCCACCCACGCATCGCATTTTGTTTACGCAAGGTGGCGGCTCAGCCCAGTTCTCAGCAGTCGTGCTCAACCTTCTTGCGCGCTATCGCCTACTTCACCCTGAACGCAATACGGAGGAGACAGTTTTAGACTACGTCGTGACGGGCTCGTGGAGCAAGAAGGCTGCAGAGGAGGCCCGAAGGCTCGGCGGTGGACAGGTGAATGTTGTCGTGGACTCACGTCAGTTCTCGGAGAGCGGTAAAGCATTTGACAGCATCCCTCCCCACGCTGCATACAGGTTCTCGCCCGACCCGGCGCTGATCTACTACTGCGAGAACGAAACGGTAGACGGCGTGGAATTCTCCCATGACGATGCTTCACCTGCTTCATTCCCATATCACCTTTTGGGAGGTGGCACCAATGCGCTGGTGCCCCTCGTCGCCGATTACTCTTCTTCGTTTATGTGTCGCCCAATCCCCCATCTTGCAGACCATGCGATAATATATGCTGGGGCGCAGAAGAACATTGGACCGGCGGGCTTGACGATCCTCATCGCCCGCGAAGACTGTATTGTCGATGTCGATGCTGCTGCCAAACTAGGAACTACACCGGTGCCTTTGACACTGTCGTACAAGACCCTTGCAGACTCGGGGAGTTTGTATAACACGCCCCCCGTGTTGTCAATCTACATAGCTGGTTTGGTTTTAGAGCGGATGCAGCGGCACGGTGGCCTGAAGCATTACGAGGAGACCAACAAGCGAAAAGCGGAGAAGCTCTATGCGGCGCTGAGAGAAGGTGAGGGCAAAGGTGTCCTACGTAGGAAGGTGAAGGAAGGATCCGGTAGTTGGATGAACGTTGTGTTCGAGGTGGTTGGTCCAGACGCGGAGAAGGCGTTCCTGGAGGGAGCCGAAGCCAGAGGTATGACAGGACTTAAAGGGCACAGGTCAGTCAATGTGTCATGTTCAAGTAACAGTGAATTAATTAGTTTCACCCGGGGTCATGAAAGATCTGTCGGAGGTGCGCTCGGTTTTATGTACATCCGTTGCCTAATTTTGACATGTCATACAAGGTGTCCGCGTGTCGCTGTACAACGCGATAACCGAGGCAGAGGTCGATCAGCTTATCGCCTATATCAAAGAATTTGTACAGTAGGGAGAGGTGCGTAGTGATGGAATGCTTACTACAAGTGGGGACGACTATTGTAGACGAAGTGCTGTGAGCCGCCGCTTGCATTCACTGGGTAACTAGCGACTATCCAACGTGTTATCTGAATCTAAATAATCCAATGAGACATTAAAGTCGGAAACCAGGCTCCCGGTTGCGACTAGGCAATATTACTGTCACTGACGACACTCTACATAGGTAAAGGAAAAAAATGACGCAATCAACCGCTGCCAACACTCCTTGGTAGGGAATGGTCAGGGCCCTCTCATATGTTCTCCATCCTTGATGAGGCGGTGGCAACTTTTTACCGTCACTCGTCTGCGCGTCTTTTTCGTATATGATTCGCTCTCCTAAGACTCTCATTCTCATCGCCGCTCTACGTGACGTCCACACCTACACCGTTCGAAGAAACCGGAGGTTTCAAGTTGTGTTGCGAGTACTGATACCTAACGTCCTCGCCAACAACGTTCCTAGAGAAGAGCTCCGCAGCATTGACCGCCACATCGTCGACCTCAAGAAAGCCTACGTCTAGTGTCAGCTCTGAGCCCGCGAGGAGATGAATTGCTCGCATTCAAGGCGAAACGGCTTTGAAATTGAGAAAACAGCCTATATGCGGCAACGTGCTGTCTCCAAAATCAGATCGAGTGCAGTGGACCGCCACTAAAGAGCG